GGTAAAACTCATCCTTGATTGCATCCGGGCTGCAATCTGTCGGGGCATAGGCGGAGATGACGAAAAGACATCGTTTCTCACATCGATTTCTTCTCACTTTGATGGAACTTTCTAATCTAACAGCACATAACCGACTGTTAATGGGGATCCAATCGACTAGTGCTGCCTCAGCTCTAGTGCTTAGTGCGACACCAACGCCAGCAAGACCAGACGAAGATGCCACAGGGTCCCCGGATAAGCGCACGTAAAACAAACTTTTTGAAGTGACAGACGTAGAGCAAATTTGCAGTACTTCACCAGAGTCATGAATACGGGTCTCGGATAGACAGCAGACATCGATATGAAGACTTTCCAAAGACATAGCCAGCCCTATCTGTTGTCCGACCTGCACTAGTGTGCGAACGTTGAAGGCAGCCAGTTTGAATGGTGCACGTGGTTTCAGAAAAACTGCTTCAGTTCTCGTATTCGGTGGTCACATACAATTTTCAACCGGACAGTGACTCGAGAACGTTTAGATACAGTCGGATTTCCAATAAAGACGAGTCGCTGTACAAGTTTAAGTGAGAGTGAATAATGTGGAAGATAATAATAATAACAGTAATAATAATAATGACAATAATGCTAATAATAATAATAGTATTAATAATGACAATCATAGTAATGATAATTATTTGAATCGATTGTTTTTCGGAGCGAGAAAAGTAATTTCTATAGACATAGAGGGTTCATCTTATGTGTGTGGGCTGTGATACTGCCCGGCTGCCCAAACCGATGCAGGTTGTTTTCCTAGGGACCACTCCCCGAGCCTTCGACCTGAAGGTCTAACCCATAAGGCAGTGGAGCATCGTAAGGAGATGCACTCCCATGGAAGCCGGTGACAAACGATTGGTTCATACGCCATTTGTTCCCGCAGGTTACTGGAGCCCATGTGCACCATTGGTTTGTGATCCGGTTAAAGCGCCGGACATTCGCTTTTCATCCTCTCATTTTCTTAAACAACACCACCGCCACGAGAAGGCAATGAGTAGGACTTCCCTGGCAGAGACTGTATACGCGCGGCCGTGTGAGAGTATTTCGAGAGAGAGAGCGGACTCTCCCCACTTTCGGCCGTACCAGGGCATTCGGGGGCCTGTACCAGGGCATTCGGGGGCCAGATTTCCATCCTACAAGTGCATTTCGTGCCACTTTGGACAGCGTCAGAGCAACTCCCTGAGTGTGCGGCGCAGGGCAGAGTTAAAATGGTTTGAATTATTTTTTCTGGTTAGCGTTTTTTTAGTGAGTTAGTTATCTATGGGATGGGGTCGCTAACCTCATGCTCAAACCTCCTCCTTTACCAGGGTTTGGGACCAGCAGTAACTCTATAAGAGCTACAGGCGGAGTTTATTGCAGCAGCACTGACTGTGATATTCAGTATGTCACTTTACCAAGGTGTGTTACCTATGGAATGAAAGGACGCAATCGTTACTCTCATACATAAAACAGGACCGAGTAAGGTTCCATCGAACTACAGACCTGTGAGCCTATTCAGTGTTGTAGTTAAAATATTGGAAAGAATAATCAAACGGACCATAATGGCATTTATGGAAACCAATAACTTGCTAGTCATAGAACAAAATGGTTTTAGAAGGGGTCTATCTTGTACAACAAACCTCTTTAGGGCAAGGGAGTTTTGGTTAAAGGCGCTAGACAACAGAAACTTAGTGTATGTTGTCTACATAGACTTCAGTAAAGGTTTTGTCAAGGTGCCAATAAGTAGACTGCTATTTGAATTAGAAAATCTTGGTATTGCCGGACCTCTTTTAAAATGATTTGAGGATTTATTAGTTGATCGTAGACAGAAAGTAAGAATAAATTCCAAGCACTCCATGTGCTCTTCAGGTAGACTTAAATAATATGATTAATTGGTTTAAAGAGTGGCTGATGCCTATCAACGCTTGAAGGTGTGTCTATATGCACTCTGTGGATTCAAAGATTAATAGGTACAACACAGGGGAAGTGCCATCACCCGTAGTCTGGTCCCATAAGGATCTAGGGGTGAGAGTGAATAAAGATCTTAAGACGACGGCCCATTGCCGGGATGTCGCAGTCAAGGGGTTTCGAACCCTCTGGGTTTAAAAAAAGGACATTCACCAAGTTAGATACTACCATGTTCACCACAGTATACACATCCTTGGTGAGAACTAAGATGGAGAACTGCGTTCAGGCTGCAAGCCCCTGCTTAAAAGGTGACTCAGACGTACTAGAAAAAGTGCAGAGGGCAGCTACGCGTACAATTCCGGAACTCCGGGGTTTATCATATAAAGAGCGACTTGAAAAACTGAACCTCTTTACTCTGTCCTATCGCACACTAAGGGGAGATCTAATTTTGATGTACAGAATACTGAGAAATAGTTTCGGACCTAACTTATTATCTCTCCTTCTTTCCACTAGATCGGGACATAGCAGGACATAGCAAGCGATTAGAAAAGCCAAGAACGAACAAAATACTAGTGGCATACAGGTTTTCACACTGAGTCATCAATACTTGGAACCTGCTGCCCGAAGTAGTGGTGTCCATACTTTCAATTGACTCTTGCAAGAGAAGACTGGACATTCACAGAAACATACTAGAAAAAGAATAACAGACAGTAGGCCTTCTGTCCTTACTACACAAATCTGAATCTAGTTCATGTTTTTAATCAAACTACCATAGATTTTATTCTTCAGCTTCAAGCATGGGCTTCTGAATTCTGGTGAATATTCAACCTCGTGACCACCTGATTCTAAATATATAAAAGCTGCTTCTAAAAACTCCTTCACACATTTCCAAGTTGGCTAAAGGCTTTTACGTTGCTTGTGAAGATACGATGAAGCAACATGATGTCTTATTATCGAATGTGAATAAATCTATCATACTACAGGTGCAGGTGGGTACTTGTGGTGTTTGTATGAAATAATTATTCCTTTGTACTTGATGACTACCTGGATTAGAATTCCAAATACATTACGTTCATTTGTGCCCAACTAGTTTTACTTGCTATGAATTGCGATATCTCGGGAATTTCTAGTTCGCAAAAAAATTTAAATACGTCTAATTATCACAATACCCCTCATTTTATCAATAGAAGAGACCAGACTAGTGTCGAATAGGCCTTTATTTTGGTGATGGAGTAAAGTAGTTGGAGAGTGAGGTCATCGTTTTTAGACATACAAATTTTTGAGCATTCAACACAAAATAATAAAAAATATAATGCCTATACAAAATAAGGAAGTGAATGACTACTCGAGCTATAATGTTTTGACGTTACTATGATGTTCGCGGCCAACTCTTAACCAATAAATCAACGTTGTAACAGTTTCATCTAACATGAACCACCTTAATCCACTTAGACGAGTGAAAAATTCATATGGCACTTTAAATTCATTAGAAATTAAGTTCTTTTTTCATGTGTTAATTTGCATCTCCATAGTTCATATCAGTTACGGTATATGCGTTTCGTAAATTTTACAAAGTGGACACATTCATGAAGTACGTAGAAGTTTCAAGTCACTTATTAGTAAAATTAATATAGAAGAATTCACCAGAAGTTGCAAAAGTGCTATATATTTGGTAAGAAATTAATTATCAATTAAATCGAATCCTATTCTTTAAAGTTGATATCGGTAGAGTAGATCCAATTATTTCTAATAAAAATCTGTTGTTTCTTTATAATAATGTCTAGTTAAAACTCACAAGTAGTGCAACAACTGACAACACCGGTTACAAGTTACCCATTGTTCGTACAGTCTGTACTCGATCGAGGAAAGAAAAGGGCGTCAGCGTCAGTATCCCTTTCCTGGAATGACTCATCTGGGTTTGGGCTTAGAAGGCTTGGTTTACTGAACGTTAGTGTTTCTTAATGCACTTATTCTTCTAATGATAACCTTATCATAGGTCTAGTCTTATTGCTCAAAGGTCGTAAGAGGTATGAAAATTCAAGTGCTAAACTTAGAAGTAAAGGGAGAGCTCATCTTTTTGAAGTGTTAACTAACTCTGTGGGGTTGAAGAGGGTCTGTGGATAGTAAATTAGACAAACAAGTTGGAAAGGCGCCAGTAATTCTATTTGCGCTATCCATCTGAGGTAATCTGATCACTTGTAGAATATCCTAGCACTTATAAAATTGCGCCCTTCGATTTTGTTCCAGACTTCATATTAACTTTGGAAAAGCATTTTCCTTTTACTTTTTGACTCCGTTTCCAGTAGAGGGTTTGTATGATAATAACGATAGATGGGTATACTAAGAAAGTAGTGAGGCTTTCCTCAGACCGCTTCCGCCAATCTAAAAATCCATCTCCACTACAGTTGCATTTCCATTAGAGCTAGGTTTGGTTTTAGAGTAGAATGGATAACTTGTTATTTTTGTGTCATAGCGATTGAAAAGACCTAAACAAAGATATCCTCAGACCTCAAAGAAGTCTTAAGCTGTGGTACGGGCAGTAAAGAGACTGCACTAATGCCTGGTTAGTGTAAAATTTCACATTATAATTAATCTGGAATTTTACATACCAATAAAGTCAGTCAATTCATCGGTCTACTACCATGTTCTAGAGTTAAGACTTAGAATTGGGTGTTATGTCTCCACCGTTGAACATCATTTATCTAAAAGTATATCACTTTATATTATGCCATCCATATTTTGAGATGCCACCTGAGGATGGTGAATGTATGTAGTTTCAAGATGAAATCACATCCTCATTAGACTTGCTGGTTGCCTAAAATTGATGTTGATACGGATCTGAAACTTAAAAACTGTCCCCATAGTTCTCATAAGCTCTTGTATATAAGTTTACTTGCGATTCTTGACTTGGAATTATGGAAATGTGATCATGCTGAAAACTGTGGCCCATTTTTTTGACACATATTATTATTCACTATTGATTAACATCTCAAATAACTTCAAGTGGCACGCACCAGCAGTACTCGCAGAGAACTTACTTAAAGAGCAGTAAGGAAGATATTTGTTTGTTCGCACCAAAAACCATAACTTGAGGTTTTGAGAGTACCTTACAAATTCGGAAAGTGACAGCTGAGTTGGTGAGATGTTGACTATTCCTAAAGATGGTGAATCGGAAATCCTCGAAGTTTTTGAAGAATGCCAGCTTAATAATTTGTCACACGATCGCTTATGTGTAAAACTGAAAAATATTTACGACAATGTAAGTTGTGACAAATGAAATTGTGTAATTTGTTCTTTATATAAACCTTGAATTCGATGCAAAATTATGTGTTTAGGGTGGTTACTGTATTCAAGTAACCATCATATAGTGATTTTTCAGACGGATTAGTCTCCGAAGATACCGTAGTGAGGCTTAAAATCTGCTTATGTGTAAACACTGGACAGGATTTTTCCGCGAATGCTTAACAATAGCAGCAACCTACTTAAGCAATTAACAACAAACACATCGGTGAACACTTTCAAGAGGAGGTCATCTTCGACAGAAACTGCTGTCAGAACCAACGCAGGTCGTCCGGCCTATAATTCTTGCTAATCAATTCAATATTTATGGAGTGTCAGTCTTCAGTAATAAAGGTAGTAGTCTGTTGAAACTATGTTAATTCTTAGAGTGTGTTTTCGAGTGAAGGCCCAGGTTCTAGCTGAAAGTGTTTGATGAACGGGTCAATACTACTCGTTTTGGTATGGTGTTCTAGACACTGACCACTCGATGAGAAAAAGGAAATCCACTGAGTTTACTAGATAGTAGTTTTCAAACCTTACTGTGGCCTTGGAGATGATTTTATTTATTTATTTATTTGAACACATAAATATTGGTACAAGAGAGATGATTAGTGCTAATTAAAGATACGGAGTACCGAAATATGTTCACCTCGCGTCTTACGATGCAATAAGGGTGACAGGTGTAAGCGTTTTAATCGCTCTTTGTAAGTGAGTTTGGAAAGACCCTTCCCCAATTTTATCCCCATACTCTGAACGTGTCCAAGTGAGTTAGTATCCTTGGAGTTCGCGTGATTATAGCAACCAATGTTTAGAGACTAGTTGATAAGGCTCAAAATTGTTCACAATGGTAACTGCTCATTCGCTCCGTCTTCCCTAGGATCCTAAGTTTTTTTGATAAATTTTTATTACACTAAGCTGTATTCTCGGATCGTATGTACTGTGACCAATATTTTCTACCATGAATACAACTGCTACACTAATTTCTATTCATTTGTTTTCCTTTGTTATTTTCTCTTATCTTTCCCTATTTATTTTTAGTCCCATTTTCTTGTTGTGTACTACATATACTTATTATGATGCTCCTTTGTACCAATATTTGTGTTCAGATAAAGAAATAATACTGTTTGTTTTATTAATCTACACTCATTGGTTTAATCATAACTTCTATTTAATGTGTAGATAATCATTGTGACCTTACATTTTTCTACCTCAGTGAGCCAAGATTTCAGACAAATCGTTTAGTTAATAGATCTAGGGTGTCCTTGAGCTAGAAAATTCTAACTGGGTAACATGGCTCAAGGTACATCATAGTGGTCCACGTGTATTTTTATCTTCATCTAAATCTTGAATTTCGATGTTCATATTTTCTACTCCTCTGCCTATGCTCCTTCACGAGGAGTAACAGGCGTAAGTAAGTAATTTTCCACTTCTCAACTTCATTCTTGCTCTACACACGGTGTTTATCCTTCATTTCTTACCACCATTGATGTTAGTATTAATTGAACTCCTTTGTTATTACCACTCTGCTAATGTGGCATGACAACTTGGACTGACAGATATTTGTACCAGAACCTATGCCGCTCAGAACTGACCAGTGAGCTTTGGATTTTGTTCTGTTAATTGCATATTTTCATTCTATTACTCGAGTTTTCATTGTATTTGGTTTAACAGACACGGTTTACACACTTCTCTGATGATTTCTTTGAGCTCTGCCGTTACAGTTTAGTATCCAGTGAACGATCATCCTATCGCGAAAGGACAATTGATTTCATCACAAAGTTTGCTCTGTTTTGTGGAAAATCAGATGATAGCAGTCAAGATACACTGAATAACCGTTTACTGTTAAAGCTTTTCTTATTTTGTATTAAGGTAGGTATAGTTTTTTTATTTGTTGCCCATAAAATCGTACTATTTTTTGATGACCACTAATTTTTGTGTTCTGACTAGGATGCAGGATATATGAAATTATTTAATGCTTAATTGTTATTCCTATAATGAGTTCTCAGTTTGTGATGTATTAATATTCATAGAATCAATTAAACTGAGTTCATAGACGTGTTGTTGGTTAACGAAATTTAAAGACTAGGAAGTTAAATTAGTCTGGAACAGTTATCACAAATAGACATTAGTCTTGATTTGTAATTAGTGTAGTGAACGCTTCTCACAAGAATGTAAATGGTGTCGAAGTTTCAACAATTGTTGAACAGTGAAGAGTTTCACTACACTCGGAGGTCAGTTGAGATTTTTATTATTTTATTTTAACACAGATATTAGTACAAGGAGGCACCAAATACATATGCGCCACGCAAATCTCATTCGATATGCGTGAGGGCTGTGGTACTGTCCGGGTGCTCAAACCGAAGCAGGTTGTTTTCCTAGGGGACCACTCCCCGAGCCTTCGACCTGAAGGTCTAATCCAAAAGGCAGTGGAGCATCGTAAGGAGATGCAGTCCCATGGAAGCCGGTGACCAACAATTGGTTCATACGCCATTTGTTCCCGCAGGATACTGGAGCCCATGTGCACCATTGATTTGGAATCCGGTCTAAGCGCCGGACATTCGCTTTTCGTCCTCTCAATTTCGTAAACAATACCCTCGCCACGAGAAGGCAGTGAGTAGGACTTCCCTAGCAGAGGCTATCTACGCGTGGCCGTGTGAGAGCATTTCGAGAGGGAGAGCGGACTCTCCCCACTCTCGGCCGTACCAGGTCAGTTGAGAAGGCAGTTGAGAATACAGAACACATCGAAAGATGCAAATGGACAATTGAAGGCTGTGTATATATGTTATGTAAATACTTTGTAACTTCTCTCAATCAAATACATTCTTCCTGCCTATTGTGTTTTACACTAGAAGTAAATTATCTAACTAATTTGTAGTTTTCCTTAGAGTAATAGGAAATGCATTTAAAAACGGTATGTTTTATACTCTTAGTTGTTTTCTGAGCCTTATCAGTTAGAATATTTTGACATATACTATAATGAAATCACCTGTTTTATAGCAAGTCTATGTTTGCAAGTGATGATTGGATCAAAATCGATCATTCAAAATAAATTGAAAAGTTGATGAAACTGAACTAGCAATCTATTAAAATTTAAAATTTGGTCTGGTTCGGTTTTTGTCGATGTGCACCACAAGTGAACCTATCACTTACCTTGTTTGTACCCTATTAATTATGACTAATATTTCGTGGAATCAATCTATTTACTGATTAGATCTCATCCGTAAGCATTTCTAGCAAACCATTCCATATATAAATCATAATACAAAACGTATGATATGTTCTTCTTACCTTAGTATTCACATTAGTTAATGTGAGGTTCAAAAATGTGTGATTTCATGCTTTTATTAATATTTTATGATAAACAGGTAGGCATAAACAACTCATAACTCGACAAATATGTGGTTGTTCGCGAATTAGCTGTTGTGATGATCAAAGGAGTTTGCGTAATCATTTTAATGTTCATTTCATCCATTGTTATTCGTAGTCTAGATACGCGGTTAAGGAACACAAAACAAAAGATTTGAAATTAGCTTAGTCGACAACGTTTCGTTCAGCGGGGTGTTATTTTCTGACCGTTTAGCAGATTTTTCCATACATTTTAAAATCCTGAAAGGTAAATGACGTAACAATCGTAAGTAATTGACAATCACCACATTACTACTCATGTTTTTCTAATTCCCCATACTCTGGATATTTGTGTTATAGTCGTACTAAGTTAATGAGTATGATTTAATTGTCTTTCACACAGTCCAGTTTTATAGTATTCTATTATGCTTGTCTGTTGATCTACTCTTCAAATCAGTACAACGAATGTCCGAATCCTGCAGTAAGATTTCGATGTATGCAGATTATTCACAAACTATTGGATGGGATTGGTGACAATGGAATAATGCCTGAAGAATTGTATAGGACGTTGCAAGGTATATTACTTCGTCGTGTCTATGATACAAAGGTTAGTTGGTTTCTTGTGTGTGTTAGAGAGTAAAAGATAGTCTCCTGTGAAAAATGTGGAGACAAATTCGTTAATTATACAAACGTTTCATTCAATATCATCTTGATTTCACCAATTCAGTCGCATACATTTACCAACTAAAAATCATTGATGGTTATTAAGGTTCGTATAGTTCCGTTGTTTCTATCCAAGATTGAATTGACCTGATATGTTGGCAGGCCTACATATCCTACATAGAGCGAAACTGGTATCCGAAATTCGATTATTAGTCACCATCAAAAATGTAGTCAATTAAAAATTAGTTTTGACTAAGAAGTATGTTTTTAGAATAATGCAATATATTTAGTATTTTACAGTGGAATTAAACAGTATGATTTGGCTACACCGTAACAACGAAATCAGACTAACAGTTCTTGTTGGGGTCTCTAACGTGATATCTATTTTCAAATAATTATTTCCGATAGGACGCATGCAACTTGTTGTCGTCGATGTCTTTGTTGTGACTCGGCTAGTTGAGTATTTCATAATCATTTCTCCTACAAAACACCTTAAAATTCAAAACCAGATCAATATAATGTAACACCATAAAACATATTCTCATGATTTTGAATAAAGGGAAAAACAAATACTTTTCCTTATTTCGTATTATTTTTAGATTTTGTTTACCTCTATGTAAGAGCTTTATACAATCAAACACCAGAAAATACTCTGCATAAAAATGAGTTAACAATGTAATCTTAATAGGTAGGATCTAAAAACAATGGAACTAATAGTTCAGATTTCATTTGTTGCAAATAGTACGTCTGTTTATGAATTGCATAGTAAAGGCTATGTTTTGCAAGTACATAGTAGAGCAAGAGTTTTACAATTTAGGTATATACTTCCAAAGGTATGTATTTCTCTGAATATCAGTATATAAAGATTGGTTATGTCTGTCACATCTCCGGCTCTCACGTTACTATTCGTATAGTCGAACCCCTCAACGATAAATAACGTTTCATTAAACATTAATCGAGAGTAATTATTGGCTTCTAGGTTTAGATTTATAAAAACTTAGTTTTATTGATCATCATTCTCACCTACACCGATCGATTACAAATCACATAAACTTAGGACGTTCATACATGCTCATAATTTTAATCTTGTCAAGTTTCATTGATCCGAAAACATATTACCTGAAGTCATGATTAGTAGCTTTTATACTGAAAAATCATAATATTTTTTTTAAAGAAATTCGTACTATCAAGCTGTGTAGTTCGCTTGCTTTCCAAGTTTTCATGCTGCATTTATTATTGTCAAGTTTTTGAATGGGAGCACTTCACAACTTATTTCATAATGTATGATGCTTAATATAACAAAATCTCGTGATTACAGAATGAATTGTGCTCTTTAGCTGAATAGATTCGTCATAGTAGGCAATAATAGTAGTTGTAATTTCTGAACGAATGATTTTAAAAATATTGGCATTTGCACTCTGATAGGACAACATCGCATTTTTTATAGCTTACTATGTTTATGTATACCTTATAGGTGTCGGTGCGAGTTGAAGCAATCCAAGCACTTTCTCGTATGCAAGATCCTACTGATGCAGAGTGTCCTGTAGTAGAGGCATTTATTTGGCTCACACGACACGATCCTACTGCAGAGGTTCGGCGTGCGGCACTAGCAGCAATGGTTCTGACTACTCGAACATTACCAAGTCTAGTTGAACGATGTCGTGATCTTGCTGACAATGTACGTCGAGCTGCCTACAAACTGTTAGCATCTCGAGGTATTTTACGACCACTATCGATCGCAAAACGTATCCGTATCTTACAAGATGGATTATCCGATAGATCGGGTAGGTAGTTTTAGAAAATCTTAGGATTGTTGGGATAGGACTACCTTGTGTGATTATATATATATATATATATATATATATATATATATATATATATATATATATATCACGTTTATTCTCTTTTGCTAAAGTTATTACTTTGGCTTTTCATTCAGTGCTTTTTATTGACGGGTTTATTCGATACATATATAATGTCGCTGTGAAATCAGTATCACTGCACAATTTTATTATACGTCCTCTCCAGTAATCACGTTTTCTAGAGACTATCAATTTTAAATACCGACTGACTTGGTGGTTACCAATTTAACTTGACGATGATAGATACATGTAGATCATACTGTTATTGACCACTCTAAAGGAGAAACAGTAAGATATTGGCTTTTTTAATTAACTACTTAAACTATGATCGCTATTTGTTTCTTGTCCTCGTCTGTGCCTAACTGGGTGTCGTCAAAATACCAGCCAATTATTAGGGGACAACTACTCCTCTTCTGAATTAATCAGGTTAAGTATTCAGTCTATTGTCAAAACATCAATAGGAACGGTAATATATATTCGGCCTGTAGCCCCTACAAGTCAGTGAATCTTCTTAGCATCATCTGAACCATGAAGACTCACCCCAACTGGCTATAGCAAGCGAAAACAGTTTAAACGCAAACTGATCGGGCGTATTTTCTAGTACAAATATCTGGTGGCATGGCAACTTGAGTTGATGCACATGAATGATAAACTCAGTTAGCTACAACGTAGGGCCAGGCACATATATGCATCCGTCCAAGTTGCCATACCTCATTAACACAACAAGATAGACACCAGATTCATAAAAGTAGTGAGTTCAGAGGTGGTAATATATAAGCCCCCAAATGCCCTGGTACGGCCGAGAGTGGGGAGAGTCCGCTCTCCCTCTCGAAATACTCTCACACGGCCACGCGTATATAGCCTCTGCTAGGGAAGTCCTACTCACTGCCTTCTCGTGGCGAGGGTGTTGTTTACGAAAATGAGAGGACCAAAAGCGAATGTCCGGCGCTTCAACCGGATTCCAAACCAATGGTGCACATGAGCTCCAGTATCCTGAGGGAACAAATGGCGAATGAACCAATTGTTGGTCACCGGCTTCCATGGGACTGCATCTCCTCACGATGCTCCACTGCCTTGTGGATTAGACCTTCAGGTCGAAGGCTCGGGGTGTGGCCCCCTAAGAAAACCACCTGCTTCGGTTTGGGCACCCGGGAAGTATCACACACATATCGAATGAGATTTGCGTGGCGCATATGTATTTGGTGCCTCTTCGTACCATTATCTATGTGTTGAAATAATATATAAAAGAAAATTTACATATTAGAATATAGTACAGGAAGAAATAATTAGTTGGTAAAAAGATATATATAGGAAGTGATTTTAATCTCATAGTTTAAGGGAAGACAAAGAATGTATACACCTACGCCATTGTGATCGATTCTGAGTCATGTCACCCAGAGTTTCCAACCATTGGTTACGATAGTCACACGGACCCCAACCAAGTAGTCTACATCTACCAACATGGCTCGGACTAGGACTAATGGACTGATTGGTGGGGAATATATGCTGTTGGTCTTTTTCACGATGAATAACTTAATACTTGTGTCTGTAGTTTTGCTGTCTTCATTTCTATCCTTCGTTAGTTTTGCGTTTCGTATCAGTGTTTTTCCTTTTTTTCCCTCGTTTTTTATACCGTTAAGCTTTATGCCAACTTAAACCGTTGTATATACTTTTAATGTCATGTCCTAGTTTTCCTCAAATTCCCTAGAATTTGAATATTTTTCTTAAAAAATATTACAGACTTTTGGTAAGTTCAATGATGATAATGTTTCTGTTTTTTAATGTATTTAATTATAGAGGAAGTTCGTAAAGCAACTAAAGAACTAGTTTTAGCATGGTTTAATGGAACTAATCGAGATCCAGTACTACTGTTACGACGTTTAGACCCAGAAGGTGATCCTAGTACAAGTCAAAAAGCTTTAGATAGTCTATTTGAAATGTTACCACTAGACGATCTGTTGAAAGTTGTCCAAGAATGGTCTCCAAATTATTTAAATTCTGAGTAAGTTATTAATGACTTCTCTAAACCTCTTATATTTACTTCTTAGCGTATCACTCTGTACTTCAACATATCGAATATATATATATATATATATATATATATATATATATATATATATATATATATATATATAGAGAGAGAGAGAGAGAGAGAGAGTTGAAATGCAATCCATTTGAGGCAAATACTCTTATTGGTCTAGTCAGAAACGTGTGATTGGCTTGTAGTAGTAGCACTTATACCTTATTCTCTTTTTTGGAGGTTGAGGTCGTTTTGAATTGGTGATCTAATTGTTACAAATTAAATGTTTAGATTGCCTAACTACAACTATGTGTTGTAGAAGGTTGTAAACAATTAGTCAATAATCAATAAAGTAGAATCTGCTTGCATGAAAGTTGTCACACGAATAAGTAATCGTTGGTATGTTCATTTCGTAACAGGGAAAGATTGGTTCTCAATCAGCGAGTAATAGTAAATTTTTCGTTGAACAAATGTAAATTGAACTGATTACTGCGCTTGAAAATGTGATATCTCTTCAGATCATTATTGGTTTATTTTTCAGTCGAATACTTAAATCCGATTGTCTTACACCGGAAGCAACATTTTTCTGGAGGGCATTGGTGGAATTTATTCATAAGAGACAAACTAATGTAGATGACACAACGACAACAACAATAAAATCAGCTGTACACGTTGAGCATGAAGATGAAGATGAAGAAAACAACCCTTTACAACGATTAGCTGATCTAGTTCAACCGTCTGTTAGTGTTTACGTTGACTTAGCTAAAAGGTTAGTTTATATTTGTTAATGGGTTTATGAATAATTGCATAATGAACATGAGTGAGTTGAACCACATTAAGTATCGTAAAATCATTGTCCTGAGTACTTTAGCTCAGTGAATTTACCAATTAATCAGGATGTATTTGATTGTGAATCTGCCAACTACTAGTTGAAAGGCATATGTTTTAACCGCTCTAAGCCATTGATTCACACGCCATGTGGTATAGTTTGTTGAATATCACATTTTGGTATGCATAATAATACCTATATATCCAACTAATAAGTCCAAGAAGAGTGAAGAAAATTTGTATCGTAAATCGAAATTCCTAAATACAGTAAACCAAAAACATTAAAACTTCATACAACTTGACTCCAAAAATTAATGAATTCTCAACAACATAAATATCATTTCCCATTGAAATATTTTTGCCTGCCACTTATTCTAGTGTATTTCTTAAGATACGTGATAGCACTTATTTGAAAAGAGATGTTAACGTAACATGATATTAATCTATAAGTCACTGATCATTAATCTTAAGCCCTTACGTGTTGGAGTCTTCGAATAATATGCATTTGATTACCTTCCATGTTATGAATTGGCATGTTATAGTCAGTCAGTCAGTCAGCTACAACGTAGGACCAGGCACATGTGTGCATCGGTCCAGGTTGCCATACCGCATCAGCACAACAAGATGAACACCGGATTCATAACAGTGGTTAGGTAAAAGGTGGTAATATATAAGAGAAGATTGCATATAGAGATATAGTACAAGAAGAAAGAATTGGTTCGTAGAAAGAAAGATATGAAGCGATTTTAATCTCTTAGTTTAAGGGAAGACAGGGAGTGTATACACCGACGCCATTGTGATTAATTCTGAGCCATGTCACCAAGAGTCTCCAACCATTGGTTACGATAGTCACGCGGACCCCAACCAAGTGGTCTGCATCTACCAACATGGCTCAGACTAGAGGTTAGTGACTTCAAGCACTGATGCCACGTTTTGGTTTGGCCGCCCCTAATTCTCTTCCAACCATCCCTAACAGCCGTTAGCATTGCACGTCGTGGTAATCGGTGTTCAGGCATACGTAACACGTGGCCAAACCATCTCAGTCGATGAAGATTCATAACCTCATCAACTGATTTACCATCCTTTCCTAATACCCTGCGTCTAACCTCACTATTACTTACCCGGTTATCCCAGAAGACCCCTGCAATATTTATAAGATATCTGTGGTCAAATACTAGTAGCTTACGGGTGTCTTCTACTCTTAATGGCCATGTTTCGCTGCCGTAAAGTAAGACAGAACGGACTGCCGCGCAGTATACTCGTCCTTTTATTGATAGACGGATATCTCGCCTTCGCCACAGGTGACGTAAGTTGGCAAAAGCCAAACGAGCTTTTCGAATCCGTGCTGAGATTTCGTCCGATACCAACCCATTAGGGCTGATCAGACTTCCAAGATAAATGAAGTTGTCAACGCGTTCGACTACCTCACTCCCTATCCTTAGTTCAGGTGTTGACGCAGGCCAGTCCTGAAGCAACAACTTGCATTTAGAGGGAGAGAAGCGCATTCCAAACATCCTGGCATTGTTGCTCAGTGCTACCAGAAGACTCTGCATTTTGTCAGCGTCTTCACCAAACAGGACTATGTCATCTGCGTATTCTAAGTCGATAAGTGGACCTCCTGGTAGGATATCAATACCCTAGAATTCAGTAGACGAGAATGTTATTTTCATCAATGAGTCTATGATGAAGTTAAACAAAAATGGGGAAAGGGGACATCCTTGACGGACACCACTTGAGGTTGCAAAAGCAGATGACAGTTCGCCATAAGCTCTGACTCGACTAGTAGTGTATGAATAAAGAGCCTTCACAAAGTTTATGTACTTCTGGGGTACGCCTTTCAATGACAGACACTACCACAGAATCTTGTGGTCTACCGAGTCAAATGCTGCTTTTAAGTCAAGAAAGACCACCATCGTCGGACGCCGATAAGTATGCCTGTGTTCTAGAACCTGACGAATGGTGAATATGTGGTCGATGCAGCCACGAACAGGTCTGAAGCCAGCTTGGTTCTCTCGTGTTTGCAGTTCACGAGTCTTAGTTAGGCGTCTGATTATTATTGAGGCTAGTATTTTAGATATTATATTAGTTAAACTAATCCATCTGTGGTTGTCACAGGATGATTTTGACCCTTTCTTATATATTGGGACGATAAGTGATTGTGACCAGTCAGATGGAATAACGTCTAACTCCCAGATCTTAGCTAAAATATTAGTCAACCTAACCGCTAAAATTGGACCACCATCCTTAAAGACTTCTGGAACCAATCCATCTGGACCAGCTGCCCTTCCTCGTTTCAGATTATCTATAGCCTTATGAACTTCAGCAAGAGTTGGGGGACCTACTTCAATGTTCCATTCACGCTGTCTGGGAATGGAGGGTAGTTGTAGAGTAGCTGAAGGCCAACTGAACTGTTCTCTGAAATGTTCCGCCCATCGTTCTAAACGCCTGGACTGGGAGCAGATGAGTGTATCGTCTTTTTCCGATATAATCTCACTTACACTTTACTTATCAATTCCAGTTTCTTTTATTAGTCTGTAAAGCTGTCTTGTGTTCCCTATAGTCGCTGCCTTTTCCATCTCTTTTGCTTTCGTTGCCCACCACTGCTCACGGTCGTTTCTTAGACTTTTTCTTAACCTAGATCTGATTTGTTGTCGCTCTTCATCATGTTCGGAACCTGATGGGACGAGTTTGCGAGAATCCATCAGTGTGATAGACCTTGAGGAAATCCACTGGTTCTTTGAAACTCTGTGGTTTAAGTTGCTAATAGATGTCACTGCTGCTTCCACAGCTGCTTGTATGTCTTTCCAAGCAACATTTGGGTCAGCCTCGTTTTCAGAACTACCTAAGGGTGACCTCAGTTGTTCCTGGAACTTACTTTTGTTTTTCTCGTTACTCAACTCAGTTCTAATGGGTCTTTTTCTTGTGTGGCTTTTTTGCGTCCGGTGAGGCGCAAGCAGATGCGTGCCCGTATTAGGGCGTGGTCGGAGTCCAAGCAGGTACTCCAGAATGAGCGACAATCTTCTACCGACCCTCTCCAACGATGACTGATGGCAATATGGTCTATTTGAGTCCATCGTTGGTTTGGTGTAGGGGGTCGCCATGTTAGACGATGTCTCTCCTTATGCTTAAAATTTGTGTTTGCTAAAAATAAGCGATTGTCTGAGCACAGTTGCAGCAGACGGTCACCATTATCTGTTCGCTGTGCCGGAATGCTAAAATATCCACCTAAATGCCTTTCTGTTTGGTTTAAGCTACGTATCTGAGCATTAAAGTCACCCCCTACGAGTACTATGTCTGAACGTTTAGCTTTCTGAAGAAGTTCAGAAAGCTTTCTGTAAAATTCATCCTTCACATCATCTGAGCTGCAGTCGATGGGAGCGTAGGCAGAAACGACAAAAAGGCAACGACGTGTGTCCCTATCCTTCCGAGTTCTTACGGAGCCGTTTAGCCGAATAGCACATAGATGACTGTTAACGGGGATACACTCTAGCAGTGCTTGTTCCGCCCTCATGCTTAGTGCTATGCCTACACCTGCCAGTCCACGGGACCTGGCCATCGGGTCACCAGATACACGTAGGGTGTATCTCGTTGGCTCTCCGTTTTGCCGAGGTGAGGTCAAGTGAATGACCACACTGGAATCCTGTATGCGTGTTTCGGAGACACAGCATACATCGATGGAAAGAGACTCTAGGGTTTTAGCCAAGGAAGCCTGCTGACCGATTTGACATAGGGTTCGTACGTTGAAGGCTCCAATGTGTAGTTTGGAGCGAGGTTTCAGTAGACCTGGGACAGTGTTTTGAGCACTAGAATCGTTGGCTATGGTGACACTTGAGGAAGAAGCCGAAGGAGGAAGTTTAGGGTTGAAAGTCGATGTAGGAGGAATAATAGGAATTGAAGAGGGAGGTTGATTATGAATCCAGTGGTCTTGAGTGCTTTTAGAGGTATGAGGGTGGTTATCACTTCCCGGTTGCTCACACCGTGGAAGGGTTCTTCTGGAGGTACCTGAAAAGGAAATTGGATTAGAGGCGGTCTCAGCGACCTGAGAGCGTGACCGCAGTGCCCAAGGGACAACTGCTTGAGGCCGGTCGCGCACGGCCTTTTCGTGGAAGGTTTTTGACGTGTTAGCTCCGTTCTTCCAAGAGCCTTACCGCCGGAGACGGAAATCCGTGAGGTAAGGCGAGGTGTGCATTTTTAGGGTCGACCTTTTCTAACCCCACCCCTCCTTGTGGGAAGGCAGAATCGCTGTTATGCTGGTTGTCTAGAGGAAACACCTTACTGCTGTCACACCTCTGTACAGTCAGCAGTACGACTTCGCCTTCGGACCTTAGGTTTGTTGCTTTTAGTCTTACCGCTCTTCAACCGACCTGTCTGACATGGTAGGACCTTGAGGAACGGTTGTTCCAGCCAGTATAGCTCGGTTGCTTCACCACGATAGGCAAGCCCGACCACCACTTCAAGGTAGCAACAACGGTCGGGAAACATGGCATGTTATAAATTGGTCGGCGATACATATATCCGTAACATCTTATAGATGTCTGTTTTTCATTTATGCAGTTCAAACTAATGATCGAAGATTTGATCAAATCACAGTTCATGTAGGTTAACTAATTCATTTCTCTCACTTAGCATTATAATCGTTTACATCAACATTATTCGGTGATTTCATCACATATAAGCAATACATCATGTTAATACTTACTATCGAATATCTTCAACTAACATATCTTTACTTTCAAAAATAATGTTGTAAATACGTTCTATAGTATGACTATCGTAACCAATGGTTAAAAAATCTGGGTGACATGACTCAGAATTAATCACAATGGTGTATACACTCTCTGTCTTCCCTTAAACTAAGAGATTAAAGTCGCTTCATATCTTTCTTTCTACCAACTAATTATTTCTTCCTGTACTATATTCTAATATGTAAATTTTATTTTATATATTACCACCTCTGAATTAACTACTTTTATGAATCCGGTGTTCATCTTATTGTGTTAATGAGGTATGGCAACTTGGACGGATGCATATATTTGCCTGGTCCTACGTTGTAGGTACTGTGGTTAAATGAGGCAATATTCGTCGATATTTACTTGTTTTTTCGCTATTATAGACTTATTATAATTCATTATTATGAAATGATTAACTTAATATTTGGTATTATAATCTTTATTTCAATAATTTAGTGTTGTGGATAAACTTGTTCAAACTGTTATTGCTCAAGAGTTTGATGAAAAAGCAATTGAACAAGAATGTGTTGTTGAACAAATTTTATCAATGGCAGGATCACTTGATTTAAGTGATGAATTTGGTCGAAGACGTCTAGTATCACTAGTTCATGATTGGATAACTAGTGAACAAGTTTCGGGTACTTTAGCTCCTCAATTATTAAAATTGCATGCTATTTTAGAGCCAAGTCTGGTGAGTAGTTTATTTGTTCTTCATAATAGTCAAATTTAATTCTTAGTTTTAGTGTTGTGTATGTTTTGTAAGTGTTTAGAGAGTTTCCTCATTTTTTTTTCACTGTTGCCACTTGAGTGTAATTATACTACATTGACTTGGTCAACCAGAATTGAGAAGCCGATTGGGTGTGACTAATTTATGGACGACCTTTGAGCGACGCCAGACTGACCTTGAGAGTTTCCACATAATGACCGGGATCAAATGAGGATTATGAACCTGTGTGAGGAATCAGAATTATGATTTACAGTTGATAGTTAAGGTTAGAAATTAGATTTAGGGTTTTCATCACGAACTGACATTAGCTATGATGCCAAAACTCTATTAGGCCTAATGAGTGGATGAATTTTGCGCCAAAATCCGAAACCTGTTATCTTGTATGTGACTGGTTCGTCCATAAATTATAGTCTCGCCAAAATATATTTAGATAGTGATTATAATGTTGAAATTGGTTGCTAAACTTTCTCTTTTCACCACTACAGAGTAGAAACGACACTGTGAATCACATTATATGCTTACTTCTTTTTATGTGCACAACACAACTCAACAAGTTTTTTATTAGAGTAAACTTGACAAACATAGGTCTTCATTAATGGTTCACTCAATATCAATCGTGATGGTGAAATAAAGATATTTAAACACCATAATTTCTGTGAATGTCTTCCGTATAGCATTGTCTTGTAAATTTATCTAACCAGCTCTTCAAACGATCTTGTAAATAATGAATTTTCCATAAAAATCTATTCTCATTCAGATGAATGAAATAATATGGAAATGTTTATCCGATGATAAGATCGGAAAACTGATAATAAGCCTTGAAAAGTTAATAAGCTTCTTGGAATCACTGTACTCTTACAAGTTTCACATTTACATTCTATAATAATATTACCCATATCGATTATGAAGCGTTACTATTACTCCTATGTTAAGTTAGGAAGCTTGAGTTGTTCAAAGCATTTCGCCTGATTTTTAATATCGATATAAAATTAACTCAATTGAACATATGCCATTGATATACCATAATTCATTAATCGATTAGTCGGAGATAATCTATCTTGTATGTTTACTTATATTTTAGTTGTTTTGTTTTGACTTCATCTTGTTCATTATATTGTAGCGACGTCGTATAAATAGTGTAATTGAAATGATTAGTGAACTTTGTGATCCAGTAGAACCACAAAACTCATTGAGAAGTGCAATATCTGTTCCAGTTGAGTCCAATGAAAATTGTTGTTTGACAAAAGAAACAGAATGTACAAATGTACAACCTGCCTTGTCAAAAAAGAAAGAGATCAGTATTCGTCTAAAAGTACGTTATTATTGTAAATGCCTTTACTTACTTACTTACGCCTGTTACTCCTCGTGAAGGAGCATAGGCAGCTAAGCAGCATTCTCCATCCAACCCTGTCCTGGGCAATCCTTTCTAGCTCCTTCCAGTTCCTATTCATCCTTTTCATATCTGTTTCTATTATCCGACGTAATGTGTTCTTCGGCCTTCCTCTTTTCCGTTTCCCTTCAGGATTCCAAGTTAGGGCTTGTCTCGTGATGCAGTTTGATGATTTGCGTAATGTATGTCCTATCCATATCCATCGTCTTTTCCTAATTTCTTCTTCAGCTGGAAGCTGATTTGTTCTCTCCCACAAAAGGCTGTTGCTGATGTTATCCGGCCAATGGATGTATATGCCTTTAATTAAATAAAGTGATTTTTTATTCGTAGTTACTGAGTCATTGTACTCTTGAAGTAATTAGTTGATTTTGAATTTTTCACATCACATTTGGAGAAGTATAGCCAACTAATAAATGTTTTAAATCACTGTATCACAGGCTTAATCTCTGCTTCACCTCTTTTGCTTGAATGGTTGGGTTATGTGGTTGACCTTTATACGTAGAGTGTAACTCAAATTCAAACGTATTGCGTTCAACCAATGAGTAGTAGTTTTTTTTCTCTAGTACATGCACTTGCACTGTTGCTGTATGATTATCGTTATTAGGTGAATTTTATCTAATTATTACAGCAACACCAAGAAATATTACACAACACAAAAAAAGTGTTCTATCCAAATAAGAAAGAGACTGTGATGAATGTCATTTTCTCATTCAAAGTACATCTCACTGAAACGATGTTTTAAATATACAGATCAAGTGGATGTTTTTTTATTGTTGAGTTCAACTCTCTATTTATATGTAATATAACACTAAACTGAATTAACATGATGAGGATCGGTTTCATTCATTGAAGAGTGATGCATCTTCAAAGTGGATATTATCTAGTTTATAAATATCATATATTTTTGTTATATAAACATATTTTATTAATAAAATATTTCTTCCAAAAGACACCTCTCTTGTCTTCGAATATCTTTACAATAGGGTTGAAGTCACTAACTTCTGATCTGAGCCATGTTAGTAGATGCAGACCACTTGGTTGGGGTCCGCGTGACTATCGTAACCAATGGTTGGAAACTCTGGGTGACATGACTCAGAATCGATCACAATGGCGTAGGTGTATACATTCTTTGTCTTCCCTTAAACTATGAGATTAAAATCACTTCCTATATATATCTTTTTACCAACTAATTATTTCTTCCTGTACTATATTCTAATATGTAAATTTTATTTTATATATTACCACCTCTGAATTAACTACTTTTATGAATCCGGTGTTCATCTTGTTGTGGTAATGAGGTATGGCAACTTGGACGGATGCATATATGTGCCTGGTCCTACGTTGTAGCTGACTGACATATATATTCGTTTATTCTTGTTCTATGTGCACAAACACGCTTATTAAACTATTTGCATAATTCACGTTTCCTTTATTTCTGTTCCCTTATTTTTTCCCTTTCTTTAAAGTTAACTCAATATTCTTCCCAATTACACAGAACCTGTTCTTTTTTTTCAAATATGGCAACATTGAAACTTGTGTATTATTGGGTTTCTGAAGAAACCCAAAATGGTTTCTTCACAACATTTATTTACCCATACGCTATTTGTGAATAATAATAATAAAATCTGTAGTTGGCAATCGAATAAGATTGCACACCACCCATTAGTTTGCATATAAATCTCTCTTCCAGGCATACTATCTAAAACATTCAACGAGTATATAATACCATGTTCATTCATTAGAGTGCATCATTTCTAGTTAAGAGAATGGATTTATGACAGTATGTGAGCTTAGACAAGTGATATGTGTGAATTCACCTCCGCCTATCACATACTCCTAGTCTTAATTAGTTATATATTCTATACGACAACTTGTTATACTCTCTTACTCAAGAAATTTATTAAGGAGAATAATTCAGATAAGTGGTAATTACCTTTATTTAAAAAAAAACACGTTCGCTACATCCTTGAAATTTGAGTCGAGTAAATTAAAACATCGTAGCAACTCAAAACTAAATCTATAAGTGAATGTGATGCAATCATCAAATAGTTGCATAATCAATATGAACAAGTAATCAAATTAGATTTATTTACATTATTGGTAAATGATTGAAAATTAACTTATTACTTTCATATATCTTTCTTTTTTGTTATTGTAATAAACATTAAGATTGCTAGTCTTGAAGTTCGTATGAATGAACTTAATGAATCATTACATGATTGTGTATCTCGTAAAGAATTCGAACGTGCAACTGAACTTCGTGATGCTTGTAATAAATTAGATATAGAACGTACAGAATTATTACAAGAATTACGTGGAAATATTGGAATATCGTGAGTTCATTGGTTTTCTCTCGATTAATTCTTTTGTTGATGCTTCGTTGTTTCTTGACATGTATCAAATCAGTAATTTTAAAAAAATGTTCCTGCTGAATGTAGAAATCACTTTTTTACTCTCAGATCTACAGTGGATCACGCAATGCTGACTAGTGTTGGGGTTGTTTGGAAGAAAGTTAGAGGCGGCTAAACCAAAACGTGGCATCAGTACTTGAAGTCACTAACTTCTGATCTGAGCCATGTTGGTAGATGTAGACTACTTGGTTGGGGTCCACGCGACTATCGTAACCAATGGTTGGAGACTGTAGGTGACATGGCTCTGAATCGATCACAATGGCGTAGGTGTATACACTCTTTGTCTTCCCTTAGACCAAAAGATTAAAATCGCTTCATATCTTTCTTTTTTGAACTAATTTTTTCTTACTACACTACATCCTTATACACAATCTTTCTTTTATATATTACCACCACTGAATTAGCTACTTCTATGAATTCGGTGTTCATCCTGTTGTGCTAATGAGGTGTGGCTGGTCATACACTGTAGCTGACTGACTGACTGAGATCATAGATAAATTGAATATAATAGCACTATCATATGTAATTTCAAATGAGCTTATTATACTCTGTAATTTGATGTTTTTGAAGCACAATGATTTACTTGTTTGAAACTTATGGATTTCTACCAATAGGTTTAAATCCCATTCTACTTACTTCGGTTTGAGAAGCCAAGTAATATCGAGATGGTGGAGAAGACTTGTAGCACAGGTGGATGATTTTGATGGAGTTTTGTTCTCTGAACCCCATAAGTTTGTACTGATGATGTCGTTCAAAAGAATGGTGAAAGCCCCACGACCAAACCATCCAGTTCAGAAAACAAAACTCCATCAAAACCAAGTAATATCACTAAGTTCCAGTTAAAAATAGTTGTTACTCAAAGCTTATTACTTGAACGTTTAATTGGTAAATGAATTACATTACATTATACTGCATAGATTTATTCTGCAACATGGGTGTGACGATGAAAATGTTTTACCCTGTATCAGCCAATCTGTCTATAAAAACTTTCTGGTTAGCGTTTTTTAGCGAGTTAGTTTTCTACGGGATGGGGTCGCTAACCCTCGTGCCCAACCCTTCTCCTTTATCCGGGCTCGGGACTGACAGTAGCCCCCGGAGGGGCTCCGGGCTGAGTTACCTATAAAAACTTAAAGAAACCCAAATAATTATGATGGTTTTACTTAGCTTATGAATTTTCCAAGGTTTCCACTCGGGTTCTTATTAACTTTAGATTAGACTCAAGTCCATTACCATATAAGTAATGATTCCAGGATTACTTACTCATCGTAGTTTTCACAGTATTTATGTACAGACTGGTTCTCTGAAAGCCCGACCAAATTACAATTTAAGGACCAATTAAATGAAATCCCTAATATATTTAAACCATTTGAAGGAACATAAGAGTGCCTATGATTCAATGGATCAATAATGAATGGTGTGATTTGTTTGCGTGTTTGTTTTGACTAAGGTAAAAAGGAGTGGATTTTCACCAAAAAATTATGTTTCGAATAGAATCTGCTTTATATGGCTGGGGGTAAACGTTTTAATGTAACTCTCCTTTCATACCATATGATTTTTACCGTATCATAATAGGAAAACACTAAATTTTCTATCTTGGTTTTGATTGATCTTATCAAGAACATGTTTTTATGGCGAACTGATTGTCATCACAAGCATTATCGTACTTTTTAATCCATTGGAAAGAATCTCTTGATAAATGATATATATACCTAAGTTTACAAAAGCAGGTGAACAGGTCTATGTCTACATCCGATTGCTCAGCTGAATTATTTTGTCCATCTCTCAGAGACCGGTTAGCATAGGATAAACAATGAAGTTGCGTAACTTAACCAAGTGTAACATTACCGTTTAAGTCCAGACTAATGTACATTTTTCTTTATCTGATATATATTGATGATTTCTGGATAAGTTTGGATTTTCTTCTGGCCTATTGCTAGAACATACGGAAGAAAGGTTACTCGCAAAATTTGCTTTTAGCTGCTGTTGTATGTAAGCAGGTCATTAACTGTTGAGCATATTTTGATACGTTAACACGTCCTAAAATAACTCATTCTAAAGAACAACCCGAAAATGTAGTGTCTTTTATATAATAGGATGGATTGTAGCTAACAGTGGAATCTGGAATGCATGTTTCGCCCTATTTGGGACTCATTAGCTGGATGTACTTCATCCCAGTATCCATGTTCATTGTGTCTCAAATTCAATATCTTTCACTCCAAACACCTATGCGTTATCACTAAATATCATCAACAGGATAATTAAAAGCCTAAGATAATGATATAATATCTTATATCCAACATATATTTAACTGTATATGACATCAGATTTATAATTTTACACTTTTATCAACCTCTCCTATCTTTTACAGAGCAGATAAACCTGCTGTTTCGCCGTCACCAGGATCTGATGAACTGATGAATAATGAAAATAGAGAAGGTCTAAACACTGAAAACCCCGATGGAGGTTCAAATAATGATAAAAATGCTGGTGATGATGATAACGAAGCGGATGCAGTTGAAGATGCAACACAAAGCCTTATTAAACGTTGTTCATCATCTGTATTATTTAAGGCAAACAGAATGGCTGCTTTAATTATACAACAATCTCCTACTCTGTGGAGTTTGCCAGCTTCATTACGTTCACTATTGGACAGTTTAGTATGTTTTTCGTCACATATAATATGCATACTGACACACTTATTTGTACCTTGAAACATTTTGTATTTATTATGTTAGGAGCTAACTTTTACTTATTTTTACACTACTATTCAAATTTTCTGTCTCAGTGATTGATTATTGTCACTATCAAGAGGGACGCAAGTGTTGTTGGCAATATCAGAAGGTTGTCATCTCCTGGTTTTTAACACCTCGAAATGATTCCTTTCCGTAAGCAATCTGAAAAAGGGATACTAAATTGTGTTCTTTGACTACTTGGGAGTGCGACTGCAAAGGTGTCATGTTCGTCAAACATGAATGCTACTACTGATTCGTCTTACTCGGAACGGAACGATGAATCAAGGATTCAGAGACTCGCTAGGCTATACTGGTCCGTTGTCCCTGACTCAGCTAACTCGATCCAGGAGTCTTGGTAAGATGTAGAAAGTGTATTCTACAGACAACTAGAAGATACCAGGTCCATCAAGCACACAAATCAAGCGTATTTATGCAAAATATATATAATCGAAATTACCATGGAAGTTTTTAAACATTTAATCGATAAGTTCGTCAATCGACTATGTGCGTGGGTGGTAAGAAATGCCCAAGCATACATCTGCATACAAGTTCCACAAAGATAAAATTACAAAATATGAGTTTTGGGGATCTAACGTCCCCAACAAAAGGAGAAACAACTGTTTAAGACCAACAACTCATGTCCCTTTTACTATCAATTTTCGATGTATCTTCGTCCTTTTCCAGACATATCTGCGGGGCAAGAAGAGTTGTGTTATTGACCCCTACTTCTAACCCCCTTTTACTTTCTGGAAAGGCATTATAGTTGAGGTGGCCAAGTATCAGAGAATAACACCATCCCACACATTCTCTAGAACATTGAATAGTACAACTTCTCTCTTGAACCTTAAATTTCCCTGTTTTGTCTTACCGTTCTTCATCTGATTTACCTCATATAGAAGAAATTTAATGGATGAATATTTGGATTAATATAGTTGTGTTATCACGATAAAGAAATCTGACCATCATATCAAAGTAACAGCTACAATCAGTTGTTGTCACTAGGTCGACTCTTAACTTTTTCAATCATCTGATAAAAAGTGCATGAAATTATGGAACAATGAGTTTATTGTTTATCATAGTTTTTTGTTCCTGTTTTTGTCTTTTTCCCTCCAGTAAGATTGTATTCTATAAGTTTTCGTTTTTTTTGTGAATGTTTTTTATTCCCTAGATATTGCCAAGTATGCAACATCCAGATGTTGCTGTTCGTAATCAAGCGATATTAGCTTTGGGTCTTTGTTGTACAATGGACTTACCATTAACATTACAATATATTCATGTGTTTTACTCAGTGAGTTTCTTTATTTGGTAAATATGTTAATCTTAATATTTGAATTCTTGACTCGATCTAAGCTAGACCACCATTTAAAACCTGGAAGTGCTGGGTGGTCGTTTCTTCCTATTATGGGACTTCTCAGCAGTGTGCAACCATTCATTCATTATATGGGGTAGATACGTATCTCTAGTCAACACGGATTGGACTCCACAGCTCATCGTTTCCCACTAGAACTCCAGAAAATCCATCTTGAAGCCAGTCACTGAGGAGTGTTCGAATCTCGCGAAGTGGGATCATGTATGCGCACTGCTGAGGAGTCCCATACTAGGATGAAACGGTGGTTCAGTGCTTCCAAGTTCTCAGTAGTGGTCTAGCTTGGATCGACTCATGAATGCAAATATTGAAATAACTGCGATCTCCACAAATCCTTATTCTGATAATATGTGAATTGTTGTTATTGTTATATCGTGATTACCTTTCTTACTATGAATAATTTTAAAACTTAAAGATTTCAATGTACTGTATTCTCTTTAATTGTGTTATTTGGTTTTTACTATAATGTTCATGTAAATATTATACTTAGATATTGTTTTCATGTTAGTTAAATAGAAAGAGAGTATCTCTGGAATCTGTCAGTTGAAACATCCGATCTGTAAAAACTTTTAATGTGGTAACTTAGTAGTTAAGTTAGTTAGGTTTCAACTTATAGGTTATGGAGTCAACTTTCGGGCAGTTGCGTCATATCACTAATTCTGACATAAATTATGTATGGTTCAGTTGCTGAGTATATAGAGTTTACAATCTATCGAACAGTTATTATGATATGTCTCATCATGTGAACTACAGGTTACTCTTAAGATTAGGTTTTTTAAATCCAATTATTGTAACTTGTCGAAATCAAAAAGAATTCACTATTCACAATAATATGTATCCCTGGCTACGGAAGATTTTTTTCTTTTTAGAGTTAGGTTAACAATTCTCAGTCTATAATTCTATTTTTCATATTCTATGTATGTTTTCTAGGCTATGCGTGTGGATCATTTGATGATTAGTGAAACAGCATTAGGTTGTATTATTGATTGTTTGCTTATTTATGGGTTTCGTCCATTTCATGATGCTAATATTAATCCAAATAGTCGATTAGTGCCAACTGATACTATTATCGTTGATGAAGATGATGATGATGAAGAAGAACAGAATATCAAAGCATGTAAGTTGCTGTAGTTAATAATAATGAAGACTTGTATCAGTTAGTGTACCTTTATCAAATCTTATTATTTCATATCTTAGAGATATGATCGTATAAGCTGAGTATTTGTTAAAGAGTAAATACTTTTTCAATTTTGTGCTTTTATTGATCAAACTTTTACAAAACTAAGAATGCGGGGACTATAATTACAAGCGTTTAAAATAACGGAAATATTCCTATTTCTGTAGAATTTTCCATACGCTTTATTGTTTTAATTAATTTACATGTCATGTACAGAGATCCATTAACCGTATTATGGTTCTAATAGGGATTCTAAGCTATGTGATAAACCTTAAGATATTCTCAACTTCAAACTAGGGAAGGGAAATATGATAGCCACAATAGGGAGAGGATGATAATTGGTTGTTTTATCACCATTATTTTCATTCCTCACTATTTATTTGTTTTATAAAAGTAGTCATATTTTCTTAGCTTAATATTTTTTCTAGGAATAGAAATATTTATTCAGTCAGTTGAACAATGTATCTATTTTTCTGAAGTTCAGTTATCTCAATCATCATTACTGTTGCATAACCCTCAGTTATTTAGAAAACAGTTTGAAACATTACTCCCAAAACTTGAGTTAAAAACATGAATAATGTTGCATTTAATAACTTGTTTGGTAAATTGAATTTACTATCGGCGATAAATCGTTTGTTGTCATTGTTATAATCACTTAAGCCTATTACTGCCAATGTAGTATAGGCCGCCGACCAGCATTCTCCAACACACTCTGTCCTGGGCCTTTCTTTCTAGTTCTATCCAATTGTTGTTCATTTTTCTCATGTCTGTCTCCATTTCTCGACGTGATGTGTTCTTTGGTCTTCCTCTCCTCCTTTGGCCTTAAGGATTCCATGTGAGGGCTTGTCTTGTGGCACAGCTCGGTACTTTCTTCAATATGTTTTCTATCCACTTCCAGCGCTTCTTCCTGATTTCCTCCTTCACTGGAATCTGATTTGTCCTCTCCTATAGTAGGTTGTTGATGATAGTATCTGGCCAACGGATCCGAAGTATTTTGCGTAGACAGTTGTTAATAAAAACATGTATCTTCTGATTGAAATTTCTAAAATCTTCACAAAACTCCTTCTGATAATAATCATCTGCTCACTAGTGACGGACTTCAAGAGATACTCCTGGAGTTCTAGTGAGAAGCCGTTACCACTAGAGTTCAACTAGGTCTGTTGTGAGATGTCAACTCACTGAAGACAATAGTGTACGGTGGCGCAACTTCGTGGATTGGTTGAAGTTAGACATTAACACCGTTGGATGCTCGCTCAGTGGTTTAGTTGGTTAAACGCCTGGCGCGAGACTGATTGGTCCTGGGTTCGAATCTTGCGGGGTTGTGGATGCGCACTGCTGAGGAGTCCTTTACTAGGACGAAACGGCCGTCCAGTGCTTCCACGTTTTCCATAGTGGTCTAGCTTTAATTGACTCATGATTTCAGTCGGTGAAATACCCTTATGTTGAAAATATAATTTCTCTGAATATCAATCTTTTGAAAGATTAAACAAATGAAGTGAATTTTCCAATTTATTCTATTGTATTCTCTCTTATACAGCTAAACATGATTATATTGTACTAACCCGACAAACTTCACAAGATTCTACCGACCAATCTCATAGTTATCCACAGGGTATGTTAGTTCGATGTGATGAAATGTCCAAAACAGCTTATCGTTTATTAAAACCAATCACTTCACTTTTGGAAAAAGAGGTAAAAAGAACATTGAAAGAAATTTGTTTGTATATTTCAATACTTAGTTAATTCTTTGGATTCTCTTACAAACAGTTTGTGATAATTTAATCATTTAGATAATGCTATCAAATAGTAGATAATTAACTAGTCAGTTTATCTTCTGTTTGTTATTTTCAAAATAGAAAATAATGGAATATTGCAACTTCAGTTTCGATTTATGTGATGAGGTTATATGAGCCTGTAGCCCCATATTAGCACAGAGATACAATTGTCGATTCAAATCCCATAGTGGCAGAGGTAATAAAAGTATAAGCAGTAATCGGGAATATTAGGGTTTGAAGATGTTGTTCAAGGAATATAATTCAGTGAAATAAATTTGAAGAGAGATAAAAAGGGACATAAAGAATTCGAAAGATTAGAATTTGAGAGAACACAAAGAGTGAATGCACCAGCGCCATTACAAACGATTTTGAGCCATGTCATTCAAGGTCTCTAAGCGACTGTATCAAGCTCTTGTATCCTGATAGAAAATCATCATATTTTATTCCATATTTATGGAATTACTATCCGTTAAGTTGTTAGTCGGGTTATAAGTGTATGCTTACGATTTCGTTACATAATACATATAGACTTTGAGATGGTGGGGAAGATAGTTAGTTATCTACAGGATGGAGTCGCTAACCCCATGCCCAACCCTCTTTTATCCGGGCTTCACGTGGTAGTTTTAAGGAATTATACGTATTTGTGTAAATATGGTTATAAACAGTTGTAGAGAAATTAGGAAATAAAGTGAATACGTCATACTATTTGTATGTCTTTTACTTTTGTTTCTTTTCTTACTCTTTAGTCTGATGATGGATTACGTTCAACTGGTGCACTTGGTCTTGCCAAATTATTAATTTATGATCGTATTGTTTCAAGTCATATACTTAGTTTATTATTATTGTTATGGTTTAATCCAAGTAGTGAAGAGAGTCCACAACTTCGTCGTGGTTTAGCATATTTCTTTGCAGATTATGCTTGTGCTAATGGTGTTGGAATGGATGCATTTGAACATCAATCTGCACTTACTAATGCTGTTTTGCCTACATTAACTACATTGATTCGTACACCTGCCTCTTCACCTTTATCTGAAGTTGAACCAAATGATGTGGCTAGTTTATTAGCTCGTTTAACTGATACTACTCATTTGAAAAGTCGATCAGAAGGTAAAAATGTAACCACTAATCAAGAAGGAAAAGACATGATCAATGATAATAATGAAGATTCCCGTCCAAGTTCAAACAAATCAAAAATAATATCATCAACTGGACAAATTGATGAAAAAATTGTAAGTTTTTTTTTAAATTTCATAACCCACTCGACTAATTCCCTCTTCTTAGTATTTGAATAGTTTTATTTGCCTCAAATCTCACACACATTGGGTTTTTACTTACTATTCACTATCATCGTTTTACACTTTGTATTAGCGTTAAATCCTGAAAAGAGTATTTATGGAGCTAATACAATCAATCAAAATAGTTTATGACTAAATTGAAATTTTCAAGTTGCCTGGATAACTAACTGTCAATTAAATTAAACTATAAATGTGTTACTTTTTCGTAAACTTTTAATTATGTACACTACAAATCGATCAATTTTTAACAACGAACCTTATATCAATTACTATGATATAGTTATTTTTGCCCTGTAAAATTCATATAAAATACCTATCATGTATTGAATGGTGTACGAAGTACATACTTTTATCATTGATGTATGCGTTCCATGTTTTTTGGTACCCTATATTAGTATATCCATTCTTCAGCTGTTAAAGACCTAACAAGACTCCGAATCGATGATAAAAGCAATCGAAAATGTATTCGTTCTTTATCATGCCACGAGACTCTGAGTTCTGACATTATTTCCTAATTACTATCGCTCTAATCAATCCCGTTTTCCAACTACTATTCACTGTAATTGGTTCTATCTTTATTTGCAAATACTACTGACACTATTATACAAGGTTGCATTCTATTACCTCAATGATTATCATGTTTCACATTCCCACATCCTGTAACAATAATTACTCTATTATACTGTTTTTGTTGGAGTTGTTGTGATCTCCGAGTTGGATGGATTGGTTGTTTAGCTTTCACTGTCCTACTGAACAATATCATCAGCACATACCTCGAAGAGAAGTGAGCCGTTAGGATCTGTCGACAACTGACTAGCAGGTCGCGTTGGTTTTCAATCAGTCAGCTATATGCAACGTAGAACCTGACAAATATGTACATCGGTTCAAGTTGTCACACCACATTATCACAGACAAAATCGTTTCGAGACAAATCCTACAATAGCAAAAGTGGTAAAAGTCTTAGGAGTTGTAGGAATGAGCAAAGATATAAATAAAAAGTGTAATTCCTCCATGGCGAACGATCCTGGTCCGTGTTCTTCAAAGTTTCTATCTATTGGTAACAATTATGACGCAGACCACAAACAGGTAGTTTACACCTATTAACATGGCTCGGTTCAATTGCTAATGACTGTAAACTGGTGTTACATCTTCGTTTGTCCGTCCCTCACTTTCTTCCAACTTGCTTTTTGTCTCAGGATGGTAAATTATGACCGAATTCTAGAGGAAAACAATAACCAAATGTTTAGAAAAACAATAAGAACTTTACAATGAATCCATTCATCTTAGAGATTACAATAATGCCAACATCGTCATCCTAAGTTCATGTATCTCAGTTTTTGAAATATACCACTTTTGTTGTTGTTGTTGTTGCTGTTGCTTTTTTGCCTAAAACAAAATGTACAATTATTTTTAAGATCAATCCACATCATGATCGTTTGGTATCAATTTTGGCCACTGAAGTTTTAAAAGCACCTCAATCCGCTGAAGCTAAATTATATCTACGTATGATTTTTCAATTACGACCTTCTACTGAAAATATAAAAATTCATAAAGAATTATTAACTTTAGTTGATTCAATGTCAAAAGTTAGTTTCTCTTTATTTACAAATGTATCTTTATTAATCAATTGAACATTGTAATGAATGATAAATTCTATTCTTATTGTATTATATCAATGATTCTATGAAATGATTGTCGATTTCTCAACCAATTCAATAGTATTACTTATAAACATCTTATTGTATATAAAAGTATCTTTTACAATTTTAACAACTGAGGTAAAATTGCAACTTAAATGATCAGTTTAATCATTAAATTTCCATAGTCATTCATAATGACCAACATCTTTCAGTATTATTTTAATAAATGAGAGCACAATTGGGGACAGCTCCCAAATACCCTGGTACGACAGAGAGTGGGGAGAGTCAGCTCTCTCTCTCTCTCTCGAAATGCTTTCAAGTAGCCACGTGCATACAACCACTAACAGAAAAGTCCTGCTCACTGCCTTCTCGTGGCAGGGGTGTTGATCAAGAAATTGAGAGGACGAAAAGCGAATGTCCGGAGCTGCAACCGGGTTGGTGGATATGGAGGATCCACCTTGAGAATTTGGAAAACCCTGATTCCAAACTAATGGTGTACATGGGCTCCAGGATCCTGAAGGAAAAATTGACATATGAACCAATCATTGGTCACTGGTTACCGTGGAACTGCATCTCCTCACGATGCTCCACTGCCTTGTGGATTAGATCTTAAGGTCAAAGGCTTGGGGCATTGCTCTCTAAGAAATCCACCTGTTTCGATTTGGGCACCTAGGCAGTACCCCAGCCTTCACGCAAATCGAATGATTTATGTGGCCCATATCTATTTGGTGTTTGAGTAAATAAATAAAATAAACAGTTCAGAGCGACCAATGTATTTTAATCCCAAATTACAGAATATCTTGGTAAAATATATAGGAACCATACATTGAATACGTCATTTGAAAATTTCTATCATTTGTCTTTCACATTCTGTTTGATTCTTCTTACTGACAGTTCTTTCCTGTTTTCTTCAACTCGATTTTATTAGCCTTCTTCTGTCAAGTTTTTCACTTCCAATTGATGTTCCATACTACTTCTCAATTGTCTTGCAACAAAATTCTTCACTGCAATTATCAGATTGACAATCTTATTGTTACGATTAGAAGTGAATAAAACTTTAATAGGAACAGTAATAAATAAACCCCTTTTCCTTTTTATGTAATGTAGGTAATTGAGTTGTATTACCAGGAACGTGATGTGATACATGTATACTAAACTTTTTGTGCCGGTCCTTTTAACTGAATAGATTATTTGGGAAAAAATGTATCTAACAGGGACTTCGTCATTAGAATTAACAATGTTCATGAATTGAACTGTAGATTGATTCAGACTTTCGTTTTTAATAGCCAAACTATCTAATGAGTCAATGATTTTGTTGATTGATAAGGATTTCTTAACAAAAAATATAATTCAGTGAAGTTCTGCAACATAATATCTTTCATTTAATTCATTACTAATATTATTCATTTTATCACATTTCTTTTTGTCTGACAGTTTGCTGATAGATCTTTAAATCTTATGCTTCATCGTTTTCGTAAACAACTAGTTGAAAAAATGGAACGTCTTGGTATTGATTCTACAACATTGAATGAATCCATATTATCTGAAAATGAAAATGACAAGGTAAATACTTCTCCACTTCATGATGATGGTGACTCCAATCATACATTAATGAATGATGAAGGCATCCAACAATCTCAACCTACGTTACTTGGATCTGCCCGAGTTAACTTTCACTTGGTTAATTCATCTGAACATATCATTGAAAGGAATCAGGGGAATGCTACAATGATATTTAGTCAATCAAATAGAACTATTTCTGCTGGTGGCAATCCTTTATTAGGTGAGTGGCTAGGATTAAGAGTTTCTTGTCACTTTTGCTTCTGTTATAAAGTTGTTTAGCCAACTGATTCAATGAAGCAGCCTTCTATTAGAAATACTATTCTGTCTATCATCGTATTACGAAAATGAAGTTGACTATATTGTGATCTCATATTTCATCTCAAACTTCAGCTGACAAATCATTATTTCTTAGATGACACTATGATCGGCTACATCTTAAACTTATAAATGTACAAGAAAGTTCAGAAAATGGTTCTACATTATCCTTATTTAACCAAAATCTATCAAGTGCAAGCTGACGAACAATGGTGATAATATATGATGATTTCGCGCAGTGACCCTACCCTGTATTATAGATTCCAAACTCCCGACCGTTGTTGCTACCTTGACGTGGTGGTCGGGCTTGCCTATCGTGATGAAGCAACCGAGCTATACTGGCTGGAACAATCGTTCCTCAAGGTCCTACCATGTCAGACAGGTCGGTTGAAGAGCGGTAAGACTAAAGGCAACAAACCTAAGGTCCGAAGGCGAAGTCGTACTGCTGACTGTACAGAGGTGTGACAGCAGTAAGGTGTTTCCTTCAGACAACCAGCATGACAGCGATGCTGCCTTCCCACAAGGAGGGGTGGGGTTAGAAAAGGTCGACCCTAAAAATGCACACCTCGCCTTACCTCACGGATTTCCGTCTCCGGCGGTAAGGCTCTTTGAAGAACGGAGCCAACACGTCAAAAACCTTCCACAAAAAGGCCGTGCGCGACCGGCCTCAAGCAGTTGTCCCTTGGGCACTGCGGTCACGGTCTCAGGTCGCTGAGACCGCCTCTAATCCAATTTCCTTTTCAGGTATCTCCAGAAGAACCCTTCCACGGTGTGGGCACCCGGGAAGTGATAACCGCCCTCATACCTCTAACAGCACCCAAGACCACTGTATTCATAATCAACCTTCCTCTTCATTTCCTATTATTCCTCCTACATCGAATTTGAACCCTAAACTTCCTCCTTCGGCTTCTTCCTCAAGTGTCACCATAGCCAACGATTCTAGTGCTCAAAACTCTGTCCCAGGTCTACTGAAACCTCGCTCCAAACTACACATTGGAGCTTTCAACGTACGCACTCTATGTCAAATCGGTCAGCAGGCTTCCTTGGCTAAAACCCTAGAGTCTCTTTCCATTGATGTATGCTGTGTCTCCGAAACACGCATACAGGATTCCAGTGTGGTCATTCACTTGACCTCACCTCGGCAAAACGGAGAGCCAACGAGATACACCCTACGTGTATCTGGTGACCCGATGGCCAGTTCTCGTGGACTGGCAGGTGTAGGCATAGCACTAAGCATGAGGGCGGAACAAGCACTGCTAGAGTGGATCCCCATCAACAGTCGTCTATGTGCTGTTCGGCTAAACGGCTCCGTAAGAACTCGGAAGGATAGGGACACACGTCGTTGCCTTTTTGTCGTTTCTGCCTACGCTCCCACTGACTGCAGCTCAGATGAAATGAAGGATGAATTTTACAGAAAGCTTTCTGAACTTCTTCAGATAGCTAAACGCTCAGACATAGTACTCGTAGGGGGTGACTTTAATGCCCAGATAGGTAGCTTAAACCAAACAGAAAGGCATTTAGGTGGATATTTTAGCATTCCGGCACAGCGAACAGATAATGGTGATCGTCTGCTGCAACTGTGCTCAGACAATCGCTTATTTTTAGCAAACACAAATTTTAAACATAAGGAGAGACATCGTCTAACATGGCGACCCCCTACACCAAACCAACGATGGACTCAAATAGACCATATTGCCATCAGTCATCGTTGGAGAGGGTCGGTAGAAGATTGTCGCTCATTCTGGAGTACCTGCTTGGACTCCGACCACGCCCTAATACGGGCACGCATCTGCTTGCGCCTCACCGGACGCAAAAAAGCCACACAAGAAAAAGACCCATTAGAACTGAGTTGAGTAACGAGAAAACCAAAAATAGGTTCCAGGAACAACTGAGTTCACACTTAGGTAATTCTGAAAACGAGGCTGACCCAAATGTTGCTTGGAAAGACATACAAGCAGCAGTGACATCTATTAGCAACTTAAACCACAGAGTTTCAAAGGACCAGTGGATTTCTTCAAAGTCTATCACACTGATGGATTCTCGCAAACTCGTCCCATCAGGTTCCGAACATGATGAAGAGCGACAACAAATCAGATCTAGGTTAAGAAAAAGTCTAAGAAACGACCGTGAGCGATGGTGGGCAACGAAAGCAAAAGAGATGGAAAAGGCGGCGACTATAGGGAACACAAGACAGCTTTACAGACTAATAAAAGAAACTGGAATTGATAAGTCAAGTGTAAGTGAGATTATATCGGAAAAAGACGATACACTCATCTGCTCCCAGTCCAGGCGTTTAGAACGATGGGCTGAACATTTCAGAGAACAGTTCAGCTGGCCTTCAGCTACTCTACAACTACCCTCCATTCCCAGACAGCGTGAATGGAACATTGAAGTAGGTCCCCCAACTCTTGCTGAAGTTCATAAGGCTATAGATAATCTGAAACGAGGAAGGGCAGCTGGTCCAGATGGATTGGTTCCAGAAGTCTTTAAGGATGGTGGTCCAATTTTAGCGGTTAGGTTGACTAATATTTTAGCTAAGATCTGGGAGTTAGACGTTATTCCATCTGACTGGTCACAATCACTTATCGTCCCAATATATAAGAAAGGGTCAAAATCATCCTGTGACAACCACAGAGGGATTAGTTTAACTAATATAATATCTAAAATACTAGCCTCAATAATAATCAAACGCCTAACTAAAACTCGTGAACTGCAAACACGAGAAAATCAAGCTGGCTTCAGACCTGGTCGTGGCTGCATCGACCACATATTCACCATTCGTCAGGTTCTAGAACACAGGCATACTTATCGGCGTCCGACGATGGTGGTCTTTCTTGTCTTAAAAGCAGCATTTGACTCGGTAGACCGCGAGATTCTGTGGCAGTGTCTGTCATTGAAAGGCGTACCCCAGAAGTACATAAACCTTGTAAAGGCTCTTTACTCGAACACTACTAGTCGAGTGAGAGCTTATGGCGAACTGTCATCTAGTTTTGCAACCTCAAGTGGTGTCCGTCAAGGATGTCCACTTTCCCCATTTTTGTTTAACTTCATCATAGACCTACTAATGGAAATAACTTTGTCGTCGACTGAGTTCTCGGGTATTGATCTCCTTCCAGGAGGTCCACTTATCGACTTAGAATACGCAGATGACATAGTCCTGTTTGGTGAAGACGCTGACAAAATGCAGAGTCTTCTAGTAGCACTGAGCAACAATGCCAGGATGTTTGGAATGCGCTTCTCTCCCTCTAAATGCAAGTTGTTGCTTCAGGACTGGTCTGCATCAACACCTGAACTAAGGATAGGGAATGAAGTAGTCGAACGCGTTGACAACTTCACTTATCTTGGAAGTCTGATCAGCCCTAATGGGTTGGTATCGGACGAAATCTCAGCACGGATTCGAAAAGCTCGTTTGGCTTTTGCCAACTTACGTCACCTGTGGCGAAGGCGAGATATCCGTCTATCAATAAAAGGACGAGTATACTGCGCGGCAGTCCGTTCTGTTTTACTTTACGGTAGCGAAACATGGCCATTAAGAGTAGAAGACACTCGTAAGCTATTAGTATTTGACCACAGATGCCTAAGAAATATTGCTGGCGTCTGCTGGGATAATCGGGTAAGTAATAGTGAGGTTAGACGCAGGGTATTAGGAAAGGATGGTAAATCAGTTGATGAGGTTATGAATCTTCATCGACTGAGATGGTTGGGCCACGTGTTACGTATGCCTGAACACCGATTACCACGACGTGCAATGCTATCCAGTATTGGAAATGGTTGGAAGAAAGTTAGGGGCGGCGAAACCAAAACGTGGCATCAGTGCTTGAAGTCACTAACCTCTAGTCTGAGCCATGTTGGTAGATGCAGACTACTTGGTTGGGGTCCGCGTGACTATCGTAACCAATGGTTGGAGACTCTTGGTGACATGGCTCAGAATCGATCGCAATGGCGTTGGTGTATACACTCCCTGTCTTCCCTTAAACTATGAGATTAAAATCGCTTCATATCTTTCTTTCTACGAACCAATTCTTTCTTCTTGTACTATATCTCTATATGCAATCTTTCTCTTATATATTACCACCTTTTACCTAACCACTGTTATGAATCTGGTGTTCATCTTGTTGTGTTGATGCGGTATGGCAACCTGGACCGATGCACACATGTGCCTGGTCCTACGTTGTAGCTGACTGACTGACTGATTCCAAACTATTGATCACTAACTCAGCAGTTTTAATTAGTAACTCTCCCACCATGTATGTAGTCTGTAATTTCTAGGTCATATTTGTCGGATCAGGTTAACTGAAGAGTGCTAAACTAGGTCAAAACAATTATCCAGTGCTACCTGCTTTTTATTGCTGACTCAATGTCAATCTGTGTAAAAAAAAAGTCAATTTATACAATCATGTTAAACACCCCTTACTCTGTGTTCTCGTACTGATGTAGTATTGACTACAGCGATTTATTTTGTTATTTAAAATTTAAAATAATCTGAATTTCATAACTGTAAGACTTGCTTCTATCCTACGTCAAGCATTCTTATTTCGTGTTATGGTTTATAAAGGTGCCTCGTATTTTGAACATTCTATATATATGTTGTTATTCATCAGTATATAGTTGTGGAAATTGTTAAGTTTTAATTGAGATTATGAACCTATACCAGCGAGGCCATGGGAAGCAGTACTGGGGCTTCCAGATACACAAAGCGTGAATCGAGTTGGTTCTTTATTTTCATGTAGTGAGGTAAAATGAATGACGCTTCTCGGATCTTGTATGCGCGTTTCGGAGTCGCAGCACACGTCGATGGCTTGAGGCCGGTTGAGCACAGCCTTTTTGTGGGAGGTTTTTAACGTGTTAGCTCTGTTCTTCTAAAGGTCTTACCGCCAGAGACGGAAATTCGTGAGGTGTGGCAGCCATTATAACTCGGTTGGGTCATCACGGTAGGCAAGCTCGACCACCAAGTCAAGGTAGCAGCTACGGTTGGGGAGATCATGAACCAATGAATACTAAAGCACCATTGAAACCCTGGAAGCACTAAACGGCTGTTTCTTCCTAGTATGGGACTCCTCAGCAGTGCACATCCATGACTCTACACGGGGGACTTGAAATCAAGTCTCGCGCATGAATGCCTAAACTCTAGACTATTGGGCCGACATCCAACGGTGTTAATCTCTAAGTTCAATCAATCCACGATATTTCGCTACCATCCTCCATTGTCTTCGGTGAGTAACTACCTCACATTTGACGTAGTTGTATTTCACTGGTCACGGCTACACTTGCGGGATCGATAATGTAAACTACCGAGGAATTCTACACTAGGATGAAATGGCCACTCAGTATTGGTCTTACATTCATCAGTTCATGATTTCAATTAAAACACTATCGGCTAATTTATTCTATTGACTGGTTATTATTCTAAATACTTTACAGATAAATCATCACATCAAAACTTACTGGATTTTTCCGACGACGATGATGATGATGAAGTTGATTGCGATCTAACTCCTACTTCAAAACCAGCAGTATCTAGTACTAATCCTTCAAGTAAACAAATCAAACCAAAAAAGAATACTGAAATAGCAGATACTCATCAAAAGAATGTCATTAATAATTTAGAAAAAAAACCATTCAATAAAACAAGTCGTAGAAAAGTTGTTCTTCAAAGTTCAGACAATGAAAATCCCAATAGTAATAGTTCTGTAAAAAGTCATTCAACAACAAATTCACGTAGTCGTAATCCTAAAAAGTTAAAACATTCTCATAAAAAAATTGATACATCATCATCATCATCATCTCCAGCATCATCTGTAGTAAGTAGTTCTAGAAGATCAACTAGATTGTCAAGTGCTCAAAAATCGGATCGAAGAATTTAAATAAACTCACATTGTGTATATTTCTTTTTTCTTCTTCTTCTTCTTGAATAACTGTTATTAGTATTATTATAAACTCTTTTATTGTACATGATTAACTGTTCTTTGTTAATTGTATATTACCCGGAAACTAATTAATATACAATCCCCTGTTTCTTCTCTCTCGAATTATGATACTTTGATAAGGAATTCGAGTTTTATTCGTTTCACACTAATAAGGGTGTAACCATCAAAAAGGTTCATATTCGTAAAAGGTAAGCATCGGAAGGAGGAATACTAATGTGAATTCTATTCGATTTACCTTTTGTTGTGGAAATCCTTCGTAAAACAAACAATACGGTAGTGAAATGTTATAGAGGTTTTAGCCAACTTATTACATGATTAACCAATTAGTAATATGTGTAATCAGCTTTAAGGCTATGGTTGTTTATATAATGATTATAGATATCAGAATATCGTTAAAAATGCAAAATAAAGGAATTTCATTCAGAATTTGGAAATCGTGTTATGATTAATTGAAATACTATTTATTTAGTATTATCACATAGTATTTAAAGCCGTTCAATTATTCCCACTCAATAACATTTATCTTTGTAGACGTTTTTATTTAGATAACCGATAGAAATTACCTTTTAATATTTCATAATTTTGCCGCAAAATTGGTTTAGAATATGGATACTATAACCAATCAGTGAAAGTTTAGTATAGATTTGTCTGGTGCACTACAAATTCACTCTCTATTTGTCCCTTCTAAATACTTGTTTTACATGTGTTTATCCTAGTTTTACTGATATTGGTGTCGCACTGAAACAGAAATGACCGACAGTCGGTTATGTGCTGTTAGATTAGAAAGTTCCATTAAAGTACGAATATAAATAGAGCAAGAACAAACATTGATGCAGAATAGTATGTATTCATAATATTTCGAAGTTTCTCGTCAGCTGCTTACAAACCAAAATTGTAATAGAATTTTTTACATGGAGATAGTGTGAAAACAATTGACATAGATGAGTGTAAATAACTGGGTTACAATAATAATTGTAAATACATATATATATATGCTAGAACAGGTCAGAGGTCAAAAGGAATTAATTCAGGTTGGGTGGTGTAATAATGGAATTGAATAATTATAAGATAGGTTACGTAATAATAATAAAATAGAATTTGAAAAGTTAAGATAATTTAAGAGGATCAGGTGGTGGAAATGTGTGAATGATAATGTGGTTTAGGCATTATGTAATAGAGGAGGAGTATAAATATTTTAAAATAAAAAGGGGTTACCAGGGTAGTGATAAGTTAATTAAAGTCTCTTTTTGAATGCATAAGTCAGGTTTAAGTTTTTTGATCATGATAGCTTCAGCAAAACGGAGGGTGGTCGTACTTCTTTGTCTATTGATAATTTTGAAAGCATGTGGAATCTCGATGGTGTGCCCGGTGTCAAGTAGATGTCGAGCTATTGCGAATAAACGATATCTTTCCATACGCTCCGACAGATCTCAGCCCGGACGCGATTAAGGATGAGTTTTACCACCAGTTAACCTTTCTTTCACAGGTAGTGCGTTTGACAGATATATTACTAGCCGGAGAATTGAATGCTCAGCTAGGGCGTCTAGGCATAGAAGAGAGTCGTGTAGGTGGTCAATGGGGACTTGTTCGTCGCAGGACAGATAACGGGGACCATCTAATGCAACTGTGCACAGACCACAGTCTGTTTCTGGCTAGCACTAACTTTCGGCACAGTTATCGCTGATGTGCCACCTGGCGTCCTCCCTCTACATCTCAAGCCTGAACTCGGATTCATCACATCGCGATCAGCTACCGCTGGTGTGGTTGTGTACAAGACTACCGGTCCTTTTGGAGTACCTATCTGGACTCGGATCATGCGTTGGTCTGCGCCAATCTTATCTTACATTTCAGTGGCCAAGAAATTCGTCGTCCTAAATGGATCGATGCCAGCAAGTTGGTTGCAGCTTCTGTTGAAACTGAGTATAAAACCGAGCTAGGTTCAAGGTTAGCTAACATCCCAGCGAAAAGTATAGATGAGCATTGGTCTCAACTGCATGACGCCATGAAAATGGCGAGTAAAGTGACCCGAGGTCTCGCGAAACGAGCTTGTAAGCACTGGCCTTCTTCATGCTCCTTACAACCCATCGGTTTACTCCTTGTGACCACAAACGACGACTTTCGGGTAATGAGATTGTGCAAATCTCGCGTAAGGACCGAGAGGCCTGGTGATTGGAACGTGTCGACGATTTGGAAGTAGAAGCTGCATGTGATAGCTGCCGGGAGCTCTTTCGACTTATCCGAGTCACTTGCGGCCAGAATTCTGGTGTGAGCGAAACAATCTGTGGAGAGGACGGGATAGCAGTCACTAACATCTACCGACATCTTAAACGACGAGAAGTTATTAGAGGAACACTTCAACTTGTCTGCTGCCCCGGCAACATCGACCAGACTATCGTACCTTCCATGGCCTGTGGCAAGTGATGCACCGAATGAAGCGGAACTGCACAAATAACTCCAATTCTTGAAGCGCATACAACCACCCATCTCTACTGTTTCATTCAAGCAATGGGATAAGGGTTACGCAATCTCACCATTCCTCTTCAACTTTGCTATCGATGACATCCTGAAAACAGCTCTGATGGATGTAAGTAATGATGGTGTGGATCTGTTGCATGGAGAAACAATTCTCGACCTTAAGCATGCAGATGATATTGTACAGTACATTCACACTTCCAATTTACTATATGAAAATGAATCCCTCTAACCATTGAACCAGTCAGTCAGCTACAGCATACGACATATATGCATCAGTCCAAGTTGCCACACCTCATTGGTACAACAAAATGATCACCAAATTCATAGTAGTTGCTTCAATTGTAGTAATATGTACAAGAAAGATTGTGTATAAGGATATAGTACAGGAATAAAGAATTAGTTCGTAGAAAGAAAGATACAAAGATTGTATACACCAACGCCATTGTGTTCTGTTCTGAGACATGTCACCCAGAATTTCCAACCATTGGTTACGATAGTCACGCGGACCTCAATCAAGTAGTCTACATCTACCAACATGTCTCAGACTAGAGGTTAGCGACTTCAAACACTGATGTCACATTGTAGTTAGACCTCCCCCTAACTTCCTTTCAATCATCTCCAAGACTAATCAACATTGTGTGTATGTGATGATAATTAATGTTCAGCCATTAATACCATTTGTTTAATAGTAGTAAAATAAATTCTTTTTATCAAATAAAATAGAAAAGAGCTACATTTAATTAACTCATATAACTCGTCCTGTTCAAATACGATAGATTATATTGATTATTGATCTATCATTATTAATCAATAACAAACATTTAAAATAACTATAGATGAATGAATTAATGTAACAAGAAGAAGAAGAAAACGACGACGTCAACGAAGAACTTCTGATCATTGAAATCATCATCATTTAAAAGATCTAACTAATTAATTAAAATATCAATGTCAACATTTTTATTAGATCAAATACATGTTCAATCTATTGATGCCTATTATGATCCAAATAGTAAAACAGAAATAATAGAAAAACCTCATTTTTTTAAATATAAAAGTCAACATTTTCATTGTCATATTAAATTAATGATAAATGATGATTATATAACTAATCATCAATATTGGACTATTGGTTTAGTACAAGCATGTAATGAATATTATATAGAAAATCGTTATGATAATTATGGTAGTACATTATGGGAATTTCATCCAATTAAAACTGGACGACATCAAATGATTAATGATAGTGATGGTAATCAATATCCATTTTATGATATTTTTCATAGTAATTATATAATTCATCATAATTATATAACAAATAAATTTATTCAATTATATTATAAAGATTATTTTTATCCAACTATTGCATGGGAATTACCATATTCTTATAATAACAATAATATTAATCGTATTCAATTAACTGATATTATAAGAAGACAACAATTTTGGGTATGGTTAATAGCCATAAAACATGGACGAAATTATAATTTAATTAATATTAAACAAAATGAATTATATATATTAAATACAATACGTTGGCAATATACATTACATATTACATTAGATCCATATCAACCAATTGGTAAACGTTTAAAATATATTAATGATATACAATATGATAAACCAATAATATTAAATAAGAATAAAAAATTACCATTATCGGCTATTAATCCACCACATTGTAATGCAGCACAATCATTAATATGGTATCCAAATAATAAAAAAGATCAACCAAAATTAATTATACCACCAAAACAAATTATTGTACCATGGAAACAATGGTTAAATGATATGACATTAAATTATAATGAGAATATAAAAAAATTAAAACAATGTCAATTTGTTGGTGAATTATTAAATGATAAAAAAATTGGTATTACAAATTATCATAAAAATGATCAAAAATTATCAATAAATTTTGTTAATTTACGATCACGTTCAAGAGGTTGAATAGGATCATTAATAAATTTTACAAACTCTTTTTTTTTTCTTTCTTCTTTAACAATCATATTTCTTGTGAAAAAAAAACAACAACATTCATTTCAATGAATGAGATATATTACTTTTTTGTAAGATTTTTTTAAATAATTTCAATGTTTCGTCCAACAAATTTGTCTGAACTTCTTCAGGGTTGTTCTTAGTTGGGTGAAGCAATTTGTCTGGTTAATTCCGATAATAAATAAACTTTAACTTGTTAAATAGTAGACTGATCTTCCGTGCTCGTTTACAGCGCGGATTCTTTATGAAGTAGTGTGGTCGTGATCCGGTGGGTAAGATGCCGGTTTTTACTTGTTAGAGGGACAAGAAGCACATCCATGTTCCACGAAATTGAGCAATAACATGTCTGTCATGCCATTATATGTCCAGGGCCACACGTGCGCTACAATGACGGTGTCAACGAGTCTGGGAACCTGGCCCGAAAGGGTTGGGCAAATTGTTTCATCACAGTCGTGACTGGGATCGGGACTTGCAATTATTCCCCATGAACGAAAAATTCGTGGTAAGTGCAAGTCATAAACATTGATCTGATTCCGTCCCTACCCTTTATACACACCGCCCGTTGCTACTACTGTATGAATGGCTTAGTGAGGTCATTGGATCATGTCGTTGTAGTGGCTTTGCCGCTCGACTGATGGTGAGATGAACTAATTTGACTATTTAGAGGAAGTAAAAGTCGTAATAAGGTTTCCGTAGGTGAACCTGTGGAAGGATAATTATCATGACCCAAAAATATATAATGAAACATGCACCTGGCTTCGTGTTGGACTGCATGTACCCTGGCATAGTGGTATTTACCCTAGGCTTCAGCGGCCACATTTATTTCTATGATTCACTATTCATTTGTTCAAATACTCCGTTAATCATTCAACTTTTCTTACTCATCAGTAGGTTGGTCAACTTCTATAAATCCTTGAAAGAAAGCATTTCCATGAAAATGTTTGATAAAGTTTATTGATTTCGGCTAATATAGACCTTTTAGTTAATAGATAACGAAAAATCTCAATTGATGTTTATTCAATGATGATTATTTTTCTGACAGCCTCAGAAATGATCAGTTATAGAAGAAGCACCACTATAAACTACCATAAGTTACTGGAAAACGATTTAGGTGCCCTAATCACGCCAGCTGGAAGAGGTAGAAAACTTCCATTACTAACTTATTACCTACTCAGCGTATTTCACTCAGTCTGTCACAACTTAGAACGTGGTACGTATGTACATCAATTCAATTTGCCATACCCTATTAGCACAGAGATAAAGTTATAAATTCAAGTCCCAGAATAGTAGAAGTAGTAACAGTATCAGTGGTAATAGAAAAGACTAGGCATCGACGATATGACTCGAAAAGAAAGTATAAATTTGCAAAATAAAAATACAAAACGACGAGGAATTCAAAAGCTCGAAATTTGACGGGATGGATGCAACTGAGCCATTGCATTCATGCCATGTCATTCAAAGTCTATAACCATTGGTTAATATAATAACACACACCCGACCAGGTAGTATATACCTATTAACATGGATAAGTCCAATCGTCAGTGTCTTTATGAACTAGTGCCATGTGTTGGTTGGGCCATCTCTAGCTCTCTTTAAGCCTACTGCTACGTCGCCCGTCGACCTAGGCGGTGGTTGGGGATACGCAACACGTCCCAATCACCTCAGTTGCCGAAGGTTTACCACCTCATCAACAGATACCCCATCTTTACCTAGTACTACATTTCTAACCCACTCATTGCTTTCTCCGTAATCCCAAAAAGACACCTATGATTGAATTATAGTAGCCTACGATTAGCTTCTATTCTTAATGACCACGTTTCACATCCATAAAATAGGACAGAGCGAATTGATGCGCAGTCAACTCAACTTTGTTTGAAAGATGGATTTCTCGTCCACAACACAAGTAACTCAGGTTGGCATTATGGGGAACCGAAATGTGACTAAAAGTCAGTTGGACTGTTCCCTAAAATGTTCTGCCCATCGCTTCAGTCTTCTGGATTGACAGTGAATAATAGTTCCGACTTTTTCCGAGATAGTTTCACCGGCTTATTAATACTCGTTTCCTTGAAACGTCTAAACAGTTGTCTACTGTTACTTATCACAGCTGCCTTTCCCTTCTCTTCTGCTTCCACTACCCATCACTTCTCACGATCTTTATGTAGGCTTTTTATCAGCCTACGTTTAAGTTGCTTCCGCTCATTGTGTTCGGAGCCAAACGGGATAAGTTTCCTAACATCTATCAGTTCAGTAAATGCCGCTGAAATCTTTTTTTTTTCCTAGCCTATTGGTTCATGTTACTAGATATCACTGCTGTTCCCACATTTCTTTTGATACATCATTTCAAGTTACCTCAGGGTGCATATCGCTTTCATCACTGACTGACTTCTCTAGTTATTCCTTATGTGTATTCTTAACTTTTTTATCATTAAGTTGAACTCTAAGTGGTTTTTCTTGTCATGGATTTTCTACGTCCAATAAAACGCAGTCAAATACGTGCTCGAACTAGAGCATGATTCGAATCTAAACATGTGCTCCAGAATGAATGATGTCTCCTATCGAGCCCCTTTAACGGTGCTTGATGGCAATGTGTTTTGTTCGACCCAAAATCGTTAATAAACCATGACTTAGATGAGCTCTTAATGGGGTACAAAATCTTGTTTTTCAAGCATTTAGAGACTAATGTTGTTGTAACATACAAAACGTCTCCAGCGACAGCTGTGGTGCATTTTGCTGTCATCGTTTGTAAGGCCCGTGGAAGAAATTATGTTTGAATCATATTGGGGTGTGATGTCAATTAGATGTATTCTCAAATAACCAAAATCTCAAGCAATCCTTCACAAAGTCCCTTGGCTCCCAAATTTCTGGTACGAAATTTTTAGAGATTACTGAAGCAACATTATAAAACCGACCAATGCGAAGAACTACACGAATGACAGGACTCAAACAATCCTTACATGAATTCAGTGGTAAGTGAGACCATCGATAGTAGACCCAAGATAACCTTCAATGGTATATGTAGCAAGTGTCAGTCGTATATACGCTTCTGGTGAAACTATAATTTATGGAGGAGTCAATCAGATTTAAGATAACACGTATTAGATTTCTTCGCGAAAGTCATCCATTCATTTGCTTAATAGCATTTTGACATTATATCTTATATCACCTCATGTTAAAAAATACCCTAAATACAACTCCTAACCCTAACATACAGCTATAAATCCTAATCCTGATTTCTCACACTAGTTTATAAACACCCTGTAAGTCACAAGGCAAGCCCTCACCTTCACTTGGAATCCTCAAAGTCAAAGAAGAAGAGGAAGACCAAAGAACACATTACGTCGAGGAATGGAGACAGACAAACAAAAATTGAATAGAACTAGGAAGGAAGGCCCAGGACAGAGTGAATTGGAAAATACTGACCGGCAGCCTATGCTCCATTGAGAGTAACAAGTGCAAGTAAGTAAGTAAGCAAATGGACATTATGAAGATCAGTGCAACGTCATTTAAAGGTTTTCCATGAACGGAAAAGAAATAATATTTGAAATAATTATTATATTTACAGGCATAAGTAATGTGTACAATCATATCGTATGCTTATTATTTACGCATAAAATCATGTTACCAATGTTATTTTCATATATAAGGAATTATAATAAACATTGTTGATGATGTAATTACACAAATTGATTTTCTTTTAAAAGGAAGTAAATTCCAACAAAATAGAAATTAATTAATCTGATGAGAATATTCTACAAGATACATCTTTGAGTAACCAATTTATACCATCTAGTAAATTCTCCCCAGTAACTCCACTACAACCAAGAATTAACCAATGATGTGTTGTTATCTCATCTAAATGTAATAATTCACGTATTTGTGATGGTTTCAATGATGAAGATAAATCCTAAAATGCAAAATACAAATGTTTTGATTAATAATGACAAGTTGGAATGATATCTGGATAGTCAGTCAGTCAGTAACAACGTAGAACTTCGTACGTACGTACATCAGTTCGAGTTGCCACACCACATTAGCACAGAGATGCAGTGGTCGATTCCAATCTTGTAGTGGTAGAGGTAATAAGAGTATAAGCAGTCATCGGAAAGATTAGTGTTTGGAGATGTTGCTTAAAGAGTATAATACAGTGAAATAAACTTGGAAAGAGAAAAAAGAGACAAGGAGAAATCAGGAGATCAAAATTTCGGAGAACACAAATAGTGGATGCACCTGCGCCATTGCAAACGATTTTGAGCCATGTCATTCAGGGTCTCTAACCATCGGTTGCTATCATCTCGCGGTCCCCAACCAGGTAGTCTACACCTACCGACATGACTCAGTTCACTTGTCAGTGACTTCATGGACTTGAGCCATGTTTTGGTCTGGCCGTCCCTAACTTTCTTCCAGCCCACTCCTACACCATGAAAGATCGCATGTCGGGGCAAACGGTCGTTGGGCATACGTAACACGTGTCCCAGTTATCTCAACTGATGAAGTTTCACCACTTCATCAATTGATTTGCCATCCTTACCTAGTACCCGTTTCCTAACAACTGCATTACTTACTCGATGGTCCCAGGATATACGAGCAATATTTCGAAGACACCTATGATCAAATACTAGTAGTCTACGAATATCCTCTACTCTTACCGGCCATGTTTCACTGCCATAAAGTAGGACGGAACGAACTGCTGTGCAGTAAACATGTTGGTCGACAGACGGATAGAATCCCGACCGTTGTTGCCACCTTGATGTGGTGGTCGAGCTTGCCTATCGTGATGAACCAATCGAGCTATACTTGCTGGAACAATCATTTCTTAGGGGGTCATACCGGGAGCCTTCGACATAATGGTCTAATCCACAAGGCAGTGAAGCAACGTCGAGATGCAGTCCCATGGTAGCCGGTGACCAATGATTGGTTCATACGCCAATTGTTCCTTCAGGATACTGGAGCCCTTGTGCACCATTGGTTTGGAATCAGAGTTTTCCAACTTTCCTAGGTGGATCCTTCGTATTCACCAGTCCAGTTAAAGCGCCGGACATTCACTTTTCGCCCTCTCAATTTCTTAATCAACACCCCTGCCACGAGAAGGCAGTGAGTAGGACTTCTCTGTTAGTAGTTGTGTGCATGTGGTTACTTGAAAGCATTTCGAGAGGGAGAGCTGACTCCACTCTCCGCCGTACTAGAGCATTTGTTCAGTAAATAATTTTCATCCATCACTTAACCCATGTTTAACTTAAATTACCGAGTACATGTTTGGAAATCACCAAACTACATCACGAGGCAAGCGCTAACTTGGAATCCTGAAGGGAAATGGAAAAGAGGAAGGCTAAAGAACACATTACGTCGGGGAATAGAAGCAGATATGAAAAGGATGAATAACAACTGAAAAGAGCTGAAAAGGATCGCTAAGGAAATGGCTGAATGGGGAATGCTGGTGAGCGGCCTATGCTCCTCCACGAGGAGTAACAGGCGTAAGTCAGTATGTTTGTGTGCTTATTTCTGAACCACATTGACGATGCGAGGGTTAGTGATAATATCCGGTTGTTTAAGTAAAAGTAAATGGTGTAAGACGTAACCTACTGGCAAGCGTTACGACCAACAGATCAGCATCATCCACTTATAGCTTCATTATTTTAAAAGTATAAAAACATGGGATGATAGAAACTTTGATTTGTTAAATTTATTTATAGCACATTTTTATGCCCCGATAAGAATAATTTTTGGGATTCATTTGTGGACCAAATACTATACGTATATTTTACCGTATAATTGTTAATGAACTAAACTATTTCTATGGTAGTCCATTGACTAAATCATCGATTAAATGTTTAAAAATACTTCCATGGTAATATCGATTATATACATATAACTGATATATATACGTTTGAATTGTGTTTGTGGATCGCTGTGTGATAACTCGTTTCTGGCTGTTGTAGAATGTACTTTCCCATTCCAAGCTTGGACTTCTCCCTCTAGTTAGCGGTGCTGGGACGCATCAAATAGCTAGCTTACTGGTCTTTGGTCACTGAATCTTTGCTCTCGTTCGCAGATTAAGTGAACTCGTGACAGCACCAACCCTAGCACACATAAAAGTTCTCTAACAATATTGCACCCGAAAAACATGAGCCAAAAAAAATCAAATAATATTGTAAAATAATGGAAGGGGGATAGTTTTACAGTCAACAAAAAAATGGACAAGAATACTATTTGGTGAGATACAGTTCAATTACAAATACAAGCAAGAGAAGTTTGTTTTAGTTAAGAAATTTCATTTCACTTTACAGAAATATAACTACTAACTTATATTCTGAGCCACATATGATAGTCTCAGACGACCAGGTCGCATGATTTCCACGAGCATATGGAAAATGTAAGGTACATGTCTTTCGAAACCCTCCTCATTTGTATAGATATTTACATTATTTCCGTTCCTATTACCCAAAACGCCCAAAGGAATGTTCGAAAGTCAGGCTGTTTGGATAACTCGCTGTTCTACTTATAATGATTTACTCCTTTTTCCGTGATGCAAGCTACAATTTTTACTGGGAGAATTATCATTGGGTCCTTCTGAGCTTTCCTTCAAGTGTCAAAAACTTTAGAGGGCATTTCAGTAAACAATCATTTCAACCCCCATGTGATTTTCTAGAACTGTACGTATAGATTTTCGTACATACGTTCGTCTGTAATGATCCAGATAGTAAGCTGACGGTCACAAACCACAGGGGACTGAGCTGAAGGTCCTATGTTCTATGAGCTGGATGATTTAGTTGTGAAGCTTTTATTGCTTTTCTGAACAACATTGACTGACAGATTTGGTTGATTTCAATGTGTCTAATGATCGGTGTTTTATTAGATTGTCATGCTTCTAATAATTCGTTGGCATTCTTTCTATCTTGTCCTTAGTATCTTGATGTTTTCTTAGTCGAAGTCATTTACATGGTTGTCCACATGCATTGATATAAGCGAAGCTAAGTCATGACATTTAACAGATAACTAGTGTTTAGGTAGAAGTAAATGAAGAGGGGTGCTACTTTATCCTATATAGTTTGTTGGATATGCTGCGACTGATCATGTAAATGATGTATGATTTTTCTTTGTGTCTCTTAGTTTGTAATTGACTCACATACATGATGTTCTCAACAATACAGGAAGTCGAAGTCCAGAAAGCATATTGATTAGAGACAGTAAATAAAGATATACAGACTCACATTGGATACAAGAGGTTAATATTTGTAGTAAAAACTGGGGAAAGTATATGAATAGAAAATAGCATATAACATTCCATCTTTAAAGTATTTAGAAAAACTTGGTACTTTTCATCAAGAATATCCTATTACATTGTGCAAACAATTTGAAATGGATATCTAGTTAATAGGTATCAATGCCAAGATTGGACATGATAGTTTCAAATAAACTGAGCGTTGGGTAGAAGATTAATAATCAATATATTTTTGTGATATCCCAAAAAGTAGAGAACTGTATTTCTGACGTTTCATGACTTGATACAAGTCACTTCTTCAGAGTAAATAAATAACGGAAATAAGATCAACATGAGTTTAAATAGCACAAGGGAAATAATGAATATATTTAGTACGACCAAAAATATATTCTGCACTGCTTCTTTCGTACTATTCAAACTCATGTTAATCTTATTCCCGTTATTTATTTACTCAAAAGAAAGGGCGTGGGTTCGGATCCCACCCCCATCACAACCTTACCCCCAAATGCCCTGGGGTATGGCCGAGAGTGGGATGGGCCCGCCCTCCATTTCGAAATGCTCTCACACGGCCACACGTATACAGCCTCTGACAGGGAAGTCCTACTCACTGCCTTCCCGTGGCAGGGGTGTTGTTTACGAAAATGAGAGGACCAAAAGCGAATGTCTGGCGCCTTAACCGGATCACAAAGCAATGGTGCACATGGGCTCCAGTGTCCTGCGGGAACAAATGGCGTATGAACCAATTGTTGGTCACCGGCTACCATGGGACTGTATCTCCTTACGATGCTCCACTGCCTTGTGGATCAGACCCTCAGGTCGAAGGCTCGGGGTGTGGCCCCCTAAGAAAACCACCTGTTTCGGTTTGGACACCCGGGCAGTATTCCAGCCCTCACACAAGTCGAATGATTTGTGTGGCGCATATCTACTTGGTGCCTCCTTGGTCCAATGTTTATGTGTTTAAATAAATAACAAAAGAAGTGACTTGCATCAAGTCATGAAACGTCCGAAATACAATTTTCCACTTTTTGAGATATCACAAAAATATATTTATCATTAGGATATCTGGTTAGCTATAATGACTATGCAAATTGTCTATTACATGAATTGAAAAGTTTATAAAAAATATAATTAGTTCAAGTAACCAATTGGAAATACAGTTACTGATCTTACTTGTTTGTTAGCGAACACAAGTAAAGTAGCACCGACTAATCGTTCTTCAACTAGCAGTTTAGATAGTTCTACCCGACAATCTTCAAGACGAAGGCGATCTGAGCTGTCCACAACCCATATTAGTGCGTCAGTAGTTTCGAAATAATTTCGCCAATATGATCGCAAAGACTTTTGTCCACCGACATCCCATATGTTCAATTTGAAACTAAAAATATATACTTAGAATAATGTTGATAATTTGATTGGATACCCCATATGTTCTAGTGTTTGAATACTAAAACCTAGTGTTGGAGATATACTGTTTATGTCTTCACCATTAAATTTCTTTACGATGGTTGTCTTGCCAGCATTGTCTAATCCCCTATAATAGCAAAATAGAATGTAAAATATGTTAATCAGTTCTGGAAGAGTTTTACCAAATGCATACTAACAACGGTCTTTCAAAATAATCCAAGTAAGAAAAAACCTGTATAAAGGGTCGAGTTTTTTTTCAATCAGACAGCCATATGCAACATAGAAACTGACAATTATGTACATCGGTTCAAGTTGTCAGACCACATTAGCACAGTCAGACAAAATCGTTTCGAGACAAATCCTACAATACCAAAAGTGGTAAATGTCTTAAGAGTAGTATGAATGGGGAAAGATATAAATAGATTTCGGTAATCAGGTTCTACAGGAAACAAATAGTGAGTGTAACTCCTCCATAGTGAACGATTCTGATCCGTGTTTTTCAAAGTTTCTATTAATTGGTAACGATTAAGACATGGACCCCAAACAGGTAGTTTACACCTATTCGCATGGCTCGGTCGAATTGGTAATGACTCTATAGAATGGTTCTGCATCTTGGTTTGGCCGTCCCTAGCATTCTTCAAACTTCCTTTTGAGTGACAGTATGGTAAATTATGACCAATTTAACCTATTTTGGTTAATAATAACCATCCCGACCGAAACTGCTACCTTGACGCGGTGGTCGGGCTTGCCTATCGTGATGACCCAACCGAGCTATATTGGCTGGAACATATGTTCCTGTAGGTTCTACCATGCCAGGCAGGTCGATTGGAGAACGGTAAGACTAAAAGCAGCAACTCAAGGTCTGAGGGCAAAGTCGTACTGCTGACTGTAGAGAGGTGTGACAGCAGTAAGACGTTTCCCTCGGACAACCAGCATCTGCAGCGATGCTGCCTTCTCACAAGGAGGGGTGGAGTTGGAAAAGGTCGACCCTAAAAATGTCACACCTCACCACACCTTACAGATTTCCGTCTCCGGCGGTAAGCCCCCAAATGCCCTGGTACGGTCGAGAGTGGGGAGAGTCCGCTCTCCCTCCCCAAATGCTTTCACATGGCCACGCGTATACAGCCTCTGACAGGGAAGTCCTACTCACTGCCTTCTCGTGGCGAGGGTATTGTTTACGAAATTGAGAAGACTAAAAGAGAATGTCTGGTGCCTTAACCGGATCCCAAACCAATGGTGCACATTGGCTCCAGTATCCTGCGGGAACAAATGGCGTATGAACCAATTGTTGGTCACCGGCTTCCATGGGACTGCATCTGCTTACGATGCTCCACTACCTTGTGGATCAGACACTCAGGTCGAAGGCTCGGGGTGTGGCTCCCTAAGAAAACCACCTGCTTCAGTTAGGGCACCCGGGCAGTATCACAGCCCTTACACATAACGAATGAAATTTGTGTGGCGTATATGTATTTGGTGCCTCTTTGTACCAATATCTATGTGTTGAAATAAATAAATAATCCGGCGGTAAGGCCTTTTGAATAACGGAGCTAACACATTAAAAACCTCCCACAAAAAGGCCGTGCGCGACCGGCCTCAAGCAGTTGTCTCTTGGGCTCTGCGGTCACGCTCCCAGGTCGTTAAAACCAACACTAATCCCACTTCTTTTTCAGGTTCCTCAAGAAATACCCTTCCACGGTGTGGGCAGTCGGGAAGTGATATCAGCCCTCATACCCGTAACAGCACACAAGACCAAGTTGATCACATTCAAATCCTTCCTACACCTCCTAATAACTCTCTTATCTCCATGACTAACACTCCTCACGTCTCTTTATCACCTCGCACCGCTAGGGCAAACGATTCGAGTACGCGGAACGCTACTCCTGGTCTCCTGAAACCACGCTCGAAACTACATGTAGGGGCTTTTAACGTCCGAACACTATCGCATCGATAGAAGCTCGGAAACTCATTCCACCTGGCTCTGAACATAATGAAGAGCGGAGTCAGCTTAAGTGCAAGCTGACAAGAAGTCTACGCAATGATCGTGAACAGTGATGGGTAGCGAAAGCAAGAGAGATTGAAAAGGCAGCGGTAATAGGTAATAGCAGACAATTGTTCAGACTCGTTAAGGAAACCGGTATTAGGAAACCGACAATAAGCGAAACACTCTCAGAGAAAGATGGATATATTATACATTTTCAATCCAGGAGATTGGATCTATGGGCAGAAGACTTCAAGGATCAGTTCAACTGGCCTCCAGCCACACTTCGGTTTCCCACGATCTCCAGTCAACCTGAATGGCAAGTTAATGTAGGTCCTTCGTCTCTTTACGAAGTTGAAAAAGCTATCGGAAATCTGGAGCGAGGAAGAGCAGCAGGCCTTGACAGGTTTACTCCTGAGATTTTTAAGGATGGTGGTTCAGTATTAGCAGTGAGATTAACTGAGGTCTTGGGTAGAATTTGGGAACTGGACGTAATCCCATCTGACTGGTCTCAATCACTGATTGTGCCAGTTTTTAAGAAAGGACAAAAGTCCTCTTGTGACAATCACAGACGAATCAGTTTGACTAATATAGTGTCCGAAATATTAGCTTCAATAATACTTCGACGCCTAATCAAAGCTCGTGAAGAGCAGACTTGAGAAAACCAGGCCGGTTTTCGACCTGGACGTGGTTGTATAGATCAGATATTCACACTACGTCAGGTTCTAGAACACAGACACACGTTTAGACGCCCCACAATGGTAGTATTTCTCGACCTTAAGGCATCATTCGACTCTGTTGACCGTGAGGTTCTATGGCAGTGTTTGTCACTGAAAGGAGTACCAAAGAAGTACATTAACCTTATAAAGGCTCTCTACTCGAACACAATTGGTCGAGTGAGAGCTTATGGCGAACTGTCATCAGAATCGATTACCTCAAGTGGTGTTCGTCAGGGCTGTCCACTCTCTCCTTTCTTGTTTAACTTTGTCGTTGACGTGCTTCTAGAGATGACCCTTTCCTCATCTAAATTTCCAGGGGTTGAACTTCTACCGGGAGGTTCACTTGTTGACTTAGAATATGCCGATGACATAGTTTTATTTGGTGAAGACGCTGATAAAATGCAGAGTCTTCTGACCACTCTAAGCAAAATGCAAGCATGTTCGGGATGCGATTCTCTCCCTCGAAATGCAAAATGTTGCTTCAGGATTGGGTTACATCGACACCCGAACTAGTGATAGGGAGTGAAGTAGTTGAGTGTGTCGACCGCTCCACTTATCTTGGAAGTCTCATCAGCCCTTGTGGTCTGGTGTGTGACGAAATCTCAGCACGGATACAGAAGGCTCGACTAGCTTTTGCCAACTTGCGTCATTTATGGCGTAGGAGAGATATCCGTCTATCAACCAAAGGACGGGTTTACTGCGCAGCAGTTTGTTCCGTCCTACTTTATGGCAGTGAAACATGGCCGGTAAGAGTAGAGGATATTCGTAAGTTACTAGAATTCGACTATAGATGTCTTCGAAACATTGCTCGTATATCATGGGACCATCGAGTAAGTAACGCAGTTGTTAGGAAAAGAGTACTAGGTGAGGCTGGCAAATCAATTGATGAAGTAGTGAGACTTCATCAGTTGAGATGGCTGGGACACGTGTTACGTACGCCCAACGACCGACTGCCTCGACGTGCGATGTTTTGTTGTATAGGAGTAGGTTGGAAGAAAGCTAGGGGCGGCCAGACCAAAATATGGCACAAATCCATGAAGTCACTGACAAGTGGACTGAGTCATGTTGGTAGGTGTAGACTACCTGGTTAGGATCCGCGAGACGATAGCAACCGATGGTTAGAGACCCTGAATGACATGGCTCAAAATCGTTTGCAATGGCGCAGGTGCATCCATTCTTTGTGTTCTCCGAAATTTTGATCTCTTTATTTCTCCTTGTCTCTTTTTTTCTCTTTCCAAATTTATTTCACTGGATTATACTCTTTAAATAACATCTCCAAACACTAATTTTCCCGATGACTGCTTATACCTTAACTAACTCTACCACTACAAGATTGGAATCGACCACTGCATCTCTGTGCTAATGTGGTGTGGCAACTCGAACTGATGTACGTACGTACGAAGTTCTACGTTGTTACTGACTGACTGACTAATAATAACCATCCTTGACGTGTGATGATCGTTGGTGTAGGAGTAGATCTTAAACTGGCTAAGGGCGACCAAACCGAAATGTGGAGTTAATCCATAAAGCCATTGTCAGTTCAACTCAACTATGTAGATAGGTGCAGACTACTTAGTTTGTCTGCGCGTTTTTCCCAAACAATGGTTACAGATTTGATAAAATGGTTCAGAATTGTTAACAATGATACATAGGCGTTCACTCTTGATTTCCTCTTTAACCTTTAAACTCTAAATGACCTTATCAATTATTTTCATTCCACTAATTCATCTCTTTTCTCGAATCATATTGCCTATACTTAATCTTTCCTATTACAACTTATACTGTTATTATCTGTACTGCATTTAGATCTTCGTAAACCATTTCATTTGATTGTTTTGGTGTGTTGGCAACTTGAACCGAGGCACATGTGCCGACTACGTTGCGTATGGGGCTGAATGGGTCAGCCTCACCAAATATCCTAAATAAAGTGGGTGAATTAGGGTTTAATGAGCATCAATAGTTTTCCTGGTTAGCGTTTTTTAGCGAGTTAGTATTCTACGGGATGGGGTCGCTAACCCCACGTTCAACCCTCCTTCTTTATCCGTGCTTGGTACCGGCAGTAGCCCCTGGAGGGACTCCAGGCGGAGGATGAGTAGTACCTACTTAAAATTATACCTTTGTCTTACCCAATTTCGTTTCGAAAAAAAACTCCGAAAAGCATAGAATTTTAGGGGAAATTTTTATACTGTATTTTGTTAACACGTTAAGTTATCCTAACATTTATCTTGTGATAAACTGAATTTCCAACATACATCATAAGAAAATATTAATTCTATTGTTTTTAAGAAGTGTTTGGCTGATAGCATCTACGAGAAGATTCTTATTCTCCACTAAGAAGATGCATTTATTTACAAAGGCACTAACTGCTAGTTTAAGCTAACCTTTTTTGGTTAATTTCAGGAATATAATCGAACTTTATGATTTGAAAGTTGCACGGATGCATTACATAGTGGCGTAAAATACAGCAACTCAAGTCAAAAACATATTAGCACCAGACCATAAGACATTTTTTTCGCTTAAGTGGTTATCAAATACAAAACCTGACTAATTACCAGCGTTATCATGTCAAGCAACTCGATCATACGTTTCCATATCAATGGTAAGGTTCTAACCACCACATCTAGCTGCTGCTGATCATGACAACTTGAAGCGATAAATTACAATATTAGATTTCCCTGGTAAAATATAGAATCCAATTCAGTAACTGAGTACATATTTGTGCTGCTTGCTTACTAAAATCAGAGTAGGTAGAGCATAATTTAAATCAGAAACTTTCAAACGCGATACCGAGGATATAACTGACATCGTTTTATAACTTAATAACAGTTCCATTGTACGGTCAGTAATATCTATTTTCATTGAGTTATCTAACAGATAGATACATTAGCGTTAATGATCTCAAAAGACACCGGCCTAAGTTGCGACAGAATAAAACAGCATGGAAAAACCCGAAATTTAATCAATGTGAAAATGGGAAAAACACACGGGTATTAAATGAAAAAGAAACAACGTACTCAATATCTAGCGCGTCACAAATAAGACATTAATCAGATCTACCGAAACTTATGGTGGAGCACAATCATTCTAAATAACCGAACCAAAGAATTCACACCTCTAAATGATCAGTGTAACAGTCAGTGTACTTGTGGACTATTATATTAAATCCGCCTAATACTTGTCAGCTTCCCCTACATATCGGACCGCTTCAGTGAGGACTGCGCTATACGATATCCTGGAGGTTCATTAAAACAGGATACAAATACTCACCGACGCAGAAAGACCGTTCGCATGCAACGAACTTGGAAAAGGCTGCTTGGGTTCACTCTATTATCTGTTTATTTCTATGGGACAATTCTGTGTGTATTTAATGGAGGGATAAGAAGCATTTGTCGCAGGAAAGTACACATGAGTATGTTGGCTAAACTTGCATAGAGACCTGTAACACTTAGGCGAATAGATGACAGACAATCCTCGTCTCTAACATGACTAACAAGTACTTCGCAACCAACACCACGACAGATTATGTGAACATGGGATATTCAAATGTAAGATATCATGTACGAACGTATATCGTACAAGATTCAAAGCTTCAAACATAATTATCAGTGTTCAGAAAGTCAGTCAAATTATTTTGCCAACAACTTATTCTCACTTTCTTGCTTACAGTATTAACACCCGAACTTCCTTCTCTTTCTGTTTAAGCTTTTTTAAAATAGTAAACAACCCCATGAACCCAGACTAAATAACAATGACCTTCAGGAGAAAACTACTAGTTGATAAAAACTATAAAATTCACTATGTATGATGAGAAACCCATTTTTCTAATTTCTGTGTCTATATCTAATGTAAATTTGATACTTATGATGTTCTATCTGCAGCTAAAGAGCATAAGACGCGGACAGAAGGCCAATGGCCTATGTTATTTCTTTTCTAGTATTCTTCTATGAAAATCTAATTCTCTTTTGAGTGATTCGACTGAAGGTGCGGACACAGTTGCTTAGGGTAATATGCTATATATTAGGCCCAAAATCATTTTTGGCATTATGTGGGCTGAAATATGTGGTAGGACATAGCTAAGAGGTCTAAATTTTCAAGCCACTTTTATATGGTAAACCCCGGATTTCTGGGATCTCACGAAGATCTGTCCCCTATACATTTCCCAGAACATTCGAGTCTCTTTTTAAATAAGGGCTCGAAGCTTGAACGCAGTTTTCAAGCTTGGATCTCCATCAGACTGTGTGTACTGCAGCGAACATAGTAGTAACTATCTTGGTGAAAATCCGTTCTAAAATACATACGACTCTAAACCCTTTAGCTGCAACGTTACGGTAGTAGGCTGTAGTTTTAAGATTACGACTCACTATCGCTGCAAGATCCGTTTCAGACCGGATCACGAGTAATGGCACTCCCCTCTACGCTGTATCGATGTAACGTTGCGTCCTCAAAGTTAATATAGAAACACTTTGCAGCGTTGACTGGCATGAGCGATTTTCTGGACTAGCTAATCAGAATATCTTAGTCTGTCAAAAGTGTTTATGCATCTGCGTCTCCTAATGTTTCTCTCCAGATTTTTACATTATTAGCGTGCAGTAGCATTGGGGACTGAACTATATTTGGTACTTCTTTTGCCTACAATATAAAAATAATGAACCTAGGACAGCTTTGCGGCACTCCATTAAGTACTGGTTTACATAAAGGGCATTTGGAACTTATTCATACGCTCTGTTTACCACCAACCAAGTAGTCTTTTATCCCCTCAAGGAGTTGTCCGGCGATCTCTAGATTATCCAGCCTCAAGAGTAGTCATCAAATGGTTTTCTGAAGTCTATATAGACAATATCCACTAGTTTTCCATTATCTGTCTAATTCTCTATTGTTATAAGTTTTGTTGAGCAAAATATACCTTTATTGAAACAATGTCATAATAGTCTTCTCAATAATTCTTTACAGTATTTTAACTACGACTCTGGTGAGGCTGATGGGTTTATATTTTAATGAAAGTTGTCTTGGTCCTGTTTTATGTATCGGAGTGACGACTGCATTCACCTGGTCCATAGGTAACACAAATCAAACAATCACCGTCAGCGGAGCTGTGATATGTTGTGCAAGCAATCTCAAGATTTTGAGGTGCACTTCATCCGATTCTGTTGACTTCGCCGTGTTTAAAGTGCTGAGAGCCTTAAATACATCGTCTCAATCCAAGTTAAAAGCAAATAGACTTTGTATTTGGGTATAGTTCTTCGTCCATAGGACGTTTCTGAGTGAAAAATGTTGCAAAATAATTCTCCATACACTCTATTTTTTCCTGACCATCCTATATCAATTGAGACCCTTTTATTTCCGTAATTAGGTTGAGAATCCAACGCTGCATGCGTTTTTCTGTAATTTGTGTGTGAAAATTCCTTTAGGCCAACTGCTTTTTACATTTTCACTGAGCTTCCCGGATTGTGATTATGCAGGTATTTCATTGCATTCTAGTCATAGTTTGAATTATCGAGTTTTTGTTTAGAGTTTTCAACAAATCCGTTTTGTGGTACTCCATTTTTAGTGGAATACAACACTATTGATTTATACTTACTACTTTGCTTACTCCTGTTACTCCTCTTGAAGCAGCATAGGCCGCCACCAGTATTTATTTTTGGATAGCTGAATTCGTTCTCCCCTGTACTGGAAGGAATAAAATGCTATGAATGCAAAGGCGGTTCAACAAGATGTGTACCTGTATTAACGCTACCGCATACAAAGCATGTTCGAAGCGAAAAAAAGTATCAGGTATTACTTCTGACGTTTTTAAGGCCAAATTTATAATTTAAAATTTAGAATTTAGGACCGAAATGATCAAATGTTTGAAGAAAAACTGGCATGTCGCTACCCATTTCAGAAATCAAACTGAACCTTATAAGGTGGTTTAATACTGACTGATTATTTACTAGACGACAATCTTGGTATTATTATGTTTTATTTTTTCTTTTAGTCTAAGACTGCTCATAAGAGAGGACATTATAAGAATCTTCGAAAACCGAAATCGAAACAACTGCTTTTGTATCTACGTTTTTATTATTATTATTATTATTATTAATGGCTTTATTCAATATTTTCGTACGAAGTAGTGAATTACCGGGATTCTCTACCAGTGCATCTAATACCAGAATATTACGTTCAAAGAGAGATCTAGTTTCCACAGTACTGCAATTTGAAAAGATTATTACTGGCCGACTGATCTCTTATCCTTACGAGGAAGACTGAAAACCAATAGTGCAAAATTGATGGACCACATTCCGACTAGATACACATTTAAATTTCGTTTTGAGAACAGATGGCAGGATTTTTTACTTGCTTTCCAAACAGTTTCCACGGGTGTTTTTATATTCTTTTGAATGACGCGATCGGAATTCTTATCACGAATAATCTAGTAGTAGGTTCTAAGATTTGACTACTCGGTGAGGAAACCTGTATCTCGAGATTACGTTGAGCTATCTTGTCTTACAATGTCATACGTGACGTCCAATTTATCAATACAACATATTCGGAAGGAAACCAGGAGATTTGCTAGGTCCACAAACACTTCTTGATAACCTATACATCCAAAATAAATCATCACTCAATCCGTCCTGAAATGGTATAAAGTAGTATAAATTCAGAGGCCGCACAGTATATAACAAAAAACAGAGCAAGATTTGAGCGGGTAGCCGTACTCATCACCTAATCTAAGAGATTTTCGGGCATCCACATGTCATTTTTAAGCGATTATATATATGCGTGTAGTTGTACGAACTCCACCTATAGCTATTCTAGGGTTACTGACGGTCTCAGCCTACATAAAAGAAGAGAGGTGAGCATGGGTTCAGCAGTCCTATCGCCCAGAAAATGATCTAGCTAAATAAACACTAACCACAATGAACAAACTAAACCACTTAAACTCTGTCCTCGGGGTTGAAAGACCTCCTTTCAGAAGGATTATGACGCCTAATGAAGAAATCCGAGATTCTTCGAGAGACGCAAGGCCGATGTTCCTTTTGACAACCAGAACAACAATTCACATAGGCACATGAAATGTCCGGCAATGTAGAAAACGGGAAGGTCTAGCCAAATGACTGAGGAAATGAGAAAATACAATTTGATGGTGCTCAGTATAAGTAGAAATTGTCGAACTCAAGCTGGACAGAAAATATTAGATTCGGGAGAGATGCTGTTATACTCTAATCATGGAGAATACAATGCTCCATGAACAAGAGGTTGCACTGATTCCATCTGAAGGAGCACGAACTGCACTTATAGGATGGGAATCTCATGAATCCATTAGCATCCAAGCATGATTTGATAACAAAGGATGGGATTATAATGAATGTTATCTAGTGCTGTGCACCCACTAATGATAGCAACAACGACAACAAAGATCAGTTTTATGAGAGACTGTATTCGATCGTAGAGAAGTGACCTAACCAATCTGATGGGAGAACTAAATGCCAAAGTCAGAATGGGTGACCCTAGTATGACAATATCATGAAACGACATGGACTGACTGGGAGAAAGGGAGAAGAATGGTGACAGATGTGTAAACTTATGGGCCTCCAACAAAATGATTATAGCTGGTACTATATTGCCCGAAAAGTACATACATAAAGCCACATGGGTCTTACCGTATCAGACTAGAGAGGACCAGATCGATCACATTTCTATTAGGTAAAAGAGATGTCATTATAAAGGTTTAATACAGACCGCCTTCGCGATACGGACAAAATCAATGAATTCAAGATGGTTATCAATAAAAGGTTCGAAGCGCTGAATGATCTGCTTTAAAAAAGGAAATAACCATGGAAAACAACTGGGAAGGGGTTGGAGAAGCAATAACTTCAAAGCTCGAGGAACACCTGGGCCACAAAAAACACAACCGATAAGTGTGCATCAGTATTAATACCCTCGGCAGGATAGAAGAATAAAAGAACACAAAGACAGCACTTAATAATGGTCTCACAAAAGTCCCAGAGGGACAGGCCAAATAAACAGATGTAGGAAACGGCTAAAGAGCTGGTAAGACGGAATATACGGATGAACTAACGATGAAAGCAGAAAAGCTGCCAGAGAAGGAAATATCAAACCATTATATGTCGTTTGAAACATTCAGGGAAATATACTGAACCTAAGAGACCAGTCAAGGACTATTATTAGTACCAGACGTTTTCAACAGTGTTGCTGAGCCGGATCAAAGATTTAGTAGACGCTCAGCTTCGAGATAAACAGACTAGATTCCGCATCGAATGATAGTGTACCGATCAAATTCTGGTAATATGGATCATTATTCAACTTTTAATTGGATGGAACTTGTCACTATACATCAATTTTCTGAACTATGAGAAAGTATTTGACAGTGTGGACAGGAGGACCTTATGGAAGATTCTTCAACACTATGTAGTGAATAGCTGAGATCATCATCACTATGCAGAACTCATTCCACATCTGCCCGAGCATCAAAGTAGGCAAATCTCGGAGATGTGAAAATCTCCCCGCTTCTATTTTTTACTTATCAAATGATCCGTTATTTCATTATAACTGCATTCACTGGTTGATAAAGTTGCATTTGAAGCGTTCTTAAGCTTCACTGGCTAATACTTGACATGTTATAATTGAAGATTTATACTCTATAACAAGCAATTACAACATCCAAAGAATGGAGTTAGTGACCAGTAGTACTTGGAATATAAACTTCACTAGGTCAACAATAGCCAATCAACATCGATTACTACAGGACAAGCTG